ATAGTAAGGATTAAATGTAGTTAAAAGAAAAAAATGACAATAAATATTTACCTGTCAGTATTCACTCTAATTGTAAATGGCTTAAATGCTCCAATCAAAAGACATAGGGTAGCTGAATGGATAAGAAAGCAAGACCCATGTATGTGCTGCCTCCAAGAGACCCACCTCAGGAATTGAAAGATACACACTGCCTAAAAATGAAGGGATGGAAAAAGATATTTTCTTTTTTTTTTAGATATTTTCTGAAAATGGAAAAGAAAGAGTTGCAGGGATGTGTCGTTAAGGGGCACATATGAGATCGTGGCCAGTTAATTTGGAGGTTCGGATTCACAGACCATAAAAACCCCAAGTCAAATATGAATAACTAAGCACTTTATTAAGGAAGAGCAAAGCAAAAGCAAGAATCAGGATCATACATCACCAGATGGGAGTTCACCAACACCCGGATGTAGATGCCAGGGAGTCCTGGAGACAGCACTTAGGGTCCGACTGGGAAAGTTCCAAGTGAAACACCCTTCTCCAAAGCCTCACTTTAGGGGCTATGGTTAAATATGTTTTAGACAAAAGTGGCTACACGCCAAGGGCCTTGCGTGACTTGACTAACCACAGGTCCCGCTAGGAGAAGGACCAGTTCTTCTAAAGGAACAGTTAAATAGTAAAAGTACTAAGCTCCTAGAGAGAAGGGCCAGTTCTCCCTGGGAGAGAGCACACCTATATTTCATTCTTACAATAAAGGTCATGGCTTGGGCATAAACAGGAAGGATTCTCAATGTCCCTTTAACCCATATCATGGGGTAGCAGTACTTAATATCTGACAAAATAGACTTTATTGTGTTGTTTTTTAAAGATTTTTATTTAATTTTAGAGAGAAGAGAACGGAAGGAGAAAGCGGAGAGAAACATCAATATGTAGTTGCCTCTCACATGCCCAGTGACTTGGCCCACAACCCAAGCCTGTGCCCTGACTGGGAATTGAACCAGTGGCCCTTTCGTTCACAGGCCCATGCTCAATCTATTGAGCTACACCAACCAGGGTACAAAACAGACTTTAAAACAAAGGCTTTAGTAAGACACAAAGAAGGACATTACATAATGATAAAGAGAGCCATCCAACAAGAGGATATAACCCTTCTAAACATTTATGCACCCAACATAGGAGAACCTAAATATGTAAAGCAAATCATGATGGACATAGCAGGGAAAGATTGGCAGTAATAGATCTTCCAGACAGAAAGTCAACAAGGAAATGGTGGCTTTAATGACACACCTGATCAAATGGATTTCATTGGTATCTTCAGAGCATTTCACCCCAAAACAGCAGAATATACATTCTTTTCAAGTGCACATGGAACATTTTCCAGGATAGACCACCTGTTAGGTCACTAAACAAGTATCAATTAAAGAACACTGAAATCACATCAAGCATCTTTTCTGACCATAATGGTATGAAACTAGAAATCAATCACAAGAAAAAAACTGGAAGACACACAAAGACATGGAGGCTAAAAAACAGTGAATGGGTTAACCATGAAGTCAAGGAAGAAATTGAAAGATATCTTGAAAGAAATGAAAATCAGAACACAACAACCCAAAATCGATGGGACACAGTGAAAGCCTAAGAGGGAAATTCATAGCATTACAGGCTTATCTCAAGAAACAAGAAGAGTCTCAAACAATCTAGCTTTACCTTTAAAGGAACTGGAGAAAGAACATCAAGCAAAGCCCAAAGTTAGTAGAAGGAAAGAAATGTAAAGATTAGAAGACAAATGAAGTAAAGTCTAAAAAAAAAAATACAAGAGATCAGTGAATCCAAAAGCTGGTTCTCTTAAGATAAACCTTTAACCAGACTCATCAAGAAAAAGAGACAGAGCACAAATAAAGCCAGAAGTGAAAGAAGAGAAGTAGCAATTGACACCAAGAAATACAAAGATTGTAAGGAAATACTATGAACATCTATATGCCAAAAAATTGGATAATCTGAATGAAATGGATAAATTCCTAGAAAAATACACTTTCCCAAAACCGAATCAGGAAGAATCAGATAATCTTATTAGACAGATTACACATCGTGAAACTGAAGCAGTAATTTAAAAAAAAAAAAAAACTCCTAACAAACAAATGTCTTGAGCTGGGTGGCAGCACAGGTGAATTTTATCAAAATTCAAAGAACTAACACCTATCCCTCTCAAACCCCAAGCTTATTTTATGAGGTCAGCATTATTCTAATTCCAAAATCAGATAAAGACAATACAAAGAAAGAAATTTATAGGCCGATATCTCTGATGAACATATATGTTAAAATCTTCAACAAAATATTAACAAACTGGATCCAGCAATACATTGAAAAAGTTATACACCTTGATCAAGTAGGACTTATTCCAGGGATGCAAGCTTGGTACAATATCTGTAAGTTAATAAACATGATTAAACAAAATAAAGAGTAAAAGCCATATGAGCCATGGCTGGTGTGACTCTGTTGGAGTGTTGTCCTGTAGACCAAAGGTCACTGGTTTGATTCCCAGTCAGAGCACATACCCAGGTTGTGAGTTCAATCCCTGGTCATGGTGCATCTGAGAAGGCAAATAATCGACGTTTCTGTCCTGCATTAACATTTCTCTCTTTCTCTTCTTTTTCTAAAAGCAGTGGAAAAAAAGTCTTACAGTGAGGATCAAAAAAAAAAAAAAGAAAAAAATTTCCCTATCAATATATGCAGAAAAAGTATTTGATAAAATTGAGCACCCATTTATGATTTTTTTCTTTTTTTTCCATTTATGACTTAAAAAAAAAAACCTCACAGCAAAATGGGAATATACCTCAATGTTGTAAAGGCCACGTGTGATAAACCCACAGCCAACATCATACTCAATGGTCAAAAATTACAAATGTTTCTCTTAAAATCAGGAACAAGACAGGGATGTCCACTTTCAAAACTTGTATTTAACATAGTTCTGGAAGTCCTAGCCATAGCAATCAGACAAGAAGAAATAGAAGGTATCCAAGTTGTGAAGAAAGAAGTAAGACTCATTTGCAGATGAGATGGTACTGTATATAGAAGACCCTAAAGATTCTACCAAAAAATCTGTTAGAACTCATCAATGAATCCAGTAAAGTGGCAGTATACAAAATAAATACCCAGAAATCATTGCAGTTTTCAATACCAGTAATTACCATAAGTGAAAACTAGGAAAACAATCTTGCTCACAGTTGCTTCAAAAAAAATTACCTAGGGATAAATTTAGCCAAGGTTGTAAAAGACCTCTACTTGGAAACAAGACTGAAGAAAGACAATGAAGAAGATACAAATAAGTGGAAGCATATATTGTGTTCATGGATAGGAAGAATTAACATCATTAAAATGTCTATAGTACCCAAAGCAATCTGTAGATTCAACACAATTTCTATCAAGATAGCAATGGTGTAGTTCACAGAACTAGAACAAATATTCCAAAACTTACATGGAACCACAAAGATCCAAAATAGCCACAGTAATCTTGAGAAAGGAGAATAAAGTTGGAGGAATCAGGCTACCTGGTATCAAAGTATACTACAAGGCCATAGTAATGAAAACAGCATGGTACTGACATAAAAACAGACATAGAGATCCATGGATCAGAACAGAGAGCTTAGAAATTAACCCATGTCATTATGGTCAGTTAATATTTGACAAAAGAGGCAAGAACATACAGTGAGGTAAAGGTAGTCTGTTTAGTAATTAGTGTTGGGAAAATTAGGCACATCTGTGCAACAGAATGAAGCTAGGCCCTCTTCTTTCACCACACACAAGAATAAACTCAAAATAGATTAAATACTTAAAAGTTAGACTTGAAACCATAAAGATCCTGGAAGAAAACATAGGGAAATCACGGGCATTTCTGGTACCAATATTTTTTTCTCATATATCTCTTCAGACAAGGGATACAAAAGGAAAAATAAACAAACGGGACTACATCCAACTAAAAAGGTTTTGCACAGCAAAGGAAACCATCAACAAAATGAAAAGATGACCCACTGAATGGGAGAACACTTTCACCAATGATGCATCTGATTAGGAGTTAATGCCAAAATTTAAGATAAAGATATCTGAAATAATTTTCAGAACTTTGCAGCTTCTGGTAATTCAGATTCAGCCTGTTTTATAACATCTTTTATATTCTCTGTGCTGTTAAGAAGTGAGATGCAAAATTGTGATCCCGAACCATTGCTGAAACTGACTTGTCATTGGTATTCCAGTTATTGCTATGTAACTAACATTTTATAATATTTAGTTGTATAAAGCAACCATTTTATAAGGCTCGTGGATTCTGTGTCCAGAAATTCAGGATAGGCACAGCAGGAAAACTTAATGTCTGTTTCTGCAGTTCTGAAAGCGGGTTGTGACTAAAGAGTTGATTTCATTGGAACACTTACCCAGTCTTATGTCTGGCAGTTGATGCTTTTGGATGGGACTTCAACTTGGCCTGTCACATGAAATAGTTATAGTGGCCTTTTTGTGTGGTTGCTTGGACTTCCTCATAACATTTGGCCAGGTTTCAGAAGTGAGCATCCAGGAGAGCAAGTCACAGTACATGACACTTTTGTGATCTAGCTTTAGAAGTCACATAATACCACGTCAGTGTTGTTTGTAAGCCCATCCAGCTCATGAGAAAGGAATGCAGAGCTTGTTTCTCAGTTGAGAGCAGTGTCAAAGTCACATTGCCAGATAGCTTACGTGTTGGGAGACATGTTATGGCCCTCTTTGGAAGGTAGTGTGTGCCAAGTTATGGCAGTAAACTATGTTTAGTTCTTAGTAAGCCAGTAAAGGAATTTTTAAAGCAAGCATTTTTTAAATAATGGTTGAAACAAGTTTTAAAAATTAAATCCCCTCAAGTAAGATTTAATATGGAACCCTATTTCATAATAATTTTATGTGTAAATATTTCATTATTATATTTTAAAATTATAATCCCTTTGTCCTTTTTACCATTTATTAATAACACTTTTATTAATATTTTTATTTTTCAGATAAAACTATAAAATGTAAAACGGATTCCTTGAGTGGTTCACCTACAAAAAAGTCTGAAGAGAAACAACAGTGCATCTCTTTAAAAGATGTAAATAAGGTATTTTTAAATGTTCATTAAACATAAAGTTCATGTAATGTTAATTTTAGCATATTCTCTTTTAGGCCTGGCTGGCGTGGCTCAGTGGATTGAATGCCAGCCTGTGAACCAAGGTTGCCAGTTCAATTCCCAGTCAGGGCACATGCCTGGGTTGTAGGCCACGTCCCCAGTGGGGGTCATGTGAGGGGCAACCACACATTCATGTTTCTGTCCCTCTCTCTCTTTCTCTCTACCTAAAAATAAATGAATAAAATCTTTGAAAAAATAGTATATTATCTTTTAAAATCTAGGCATCAAAAATGTTTTCTGTTTTAAAAAATCCTTGGCTAGGGTAGTTCCTTTCATGAAAAACTATAGTTTGCTTTTTTGCTCTATTTCAAAAGAATAAGAAGTCCAGTTCCCACCTTGTTCTTGGCCTAGTGCCCTCGCTACAAATCTGGTATTTGTCTTTATTGTAACCAGGGTGTAAAAACCTGGAATAATGGGACACTATAATAGTTAAGTTCAGGACTGACCTATCCTTCCAGTCCCTTTGACAAGATTGGTGAAAGCAATGGCAGGACATTCTGAAGACCTGAGTGCCAGCTCCTGGCCACGTGGCCACCTCAGTCTAGTGGGGATAGCAGTCATACCGTCAGTTCTTTGTCTCTCCACATCTGTGTTGCCTGAAAATTGTCCAAGATGGCTGTTGATGAGAAAAATTCCCTGGAATTTTGATTCCTCAAGAATCTCTGTTTTGCTAGCCTATATATTTTTTTCTGGAAAAATTTGTTTTTACAGTGTGTTGAATCTTCAGTGTACTGGCCAGCAAAAAGAGGCATAACCATATATGCTGATCCAGATATACCAGCGCCCAGGTATGATTTACAAATTCAGTGTCACTGTAGTCTTAAGTGTAATACTGTTTAGTATAAGATCGATGGGAGGAAAGTATTCAGTTTCAAAAACTGGCCCTGAAAATTTTGGTTAAACATATATTAATTTAAGAAAAATGTGATAACTGGTTAGCAGCACATTAGACCGAAAACTGGTAGTGGCTGTAGAGTCTCCTGTTTCCTTGTCAGACAAAGTTGTCACAGGACGGGTCTGGTGAGGTCGTCTTGGTGAGAAGTGTGGGCAGATGTGGGCCAGAAGGCAACGCCATTTGGTGGGAAGGAATTGGTGGTGGTTATTTTCTTGAAGATGAGTATCAAAGACTGGACTGTAACCCTGTCCTCATTAACATTCGTGTCAGTGATAGTAATGAGGTCACAGACAGGATGTAGTACTATACCACCTGATACATACTGTAGGATCTTAAAACAGCATGCTTTCATTTCTGTCCTCCTGGACTTTAGAGTCTCCTCCTGGACTAAATATATAACAACAACTAGTGTTGTTGTATATTTTATTTTTACATTTGTTATTAATGTTAGAATCTATACTCATTTGTATTTAAATAGTTATCTTTTAGAGAGATTTAAATAAATAAGAAAATAATCTGAACAGACTTCTGCCAAGATGGAGGCGTAGGTGGAAGCATTGTGCCTTCTCACACAACCAAGTTTAAAAACAACAAAGTTTTAGCAACAAAAATGCAGCCAAACCACAGAAAATTGAACTATACGTAAGTCTGACAACAACGAACCCTTCAGCCAAACCGGTAACAGGGGCATAGCCAGCAGCAGAGCGGGGTCAGGCAGGAAAGATTCACTGGGCTGACCCAGGCATGTGACCCAGGCACGCCAGCAGCTGTGGGCAGATCCCAGGTGTGGTGCAGCGGGCGGACCCACTGAGGGCACAAGGCAGTGGACTCACTGAGGGCTGACCACGGTCACACATTCACGCGCAGATAAACAGGTGAAGGAGCAAACAGTGAGACAGACCGTGCAGGACCCAGTGGCGGGAAGAGGCAGAGGGGACCGCCATTGTCCCTCTCTGACCCCGCCCCCACATACAGCATCACAAACCAGCAACCTGGGTGGCCTCGCCCTGGTGAACACTTAAGGCTCTGCTCCTCTTACGTAACAGGCATGAACAGATCAAAACTTGGTTCAAGAACAACTCAGAGTCCCAAAGCCAATGAATCTAAGTGATGAAGAAATAGCCAAACTTTCAAATGCACAGTTCAAAACACTGGTGATCAGGATGCTCGCAGAACTGGTTGATTTTAGTCATAAATTAGAGGAACATATGAAGGCTAAACTAATTGAAATGAATGGAAATGCACAGGAAACCAATAGTAACGGAAAGGAAACTGGGACTCAAAGGAGTGGACCAGAAAGAGGAAAAAAATGACCAAACAGAGAAGGATGAAGAAACAAGAATTCAAAAAAATGAGGAGAGCCTTAGGAACCTTCAGGACATCTTCAAACGTTCCAACACCCAAATTATAGGGGTACCAGAAGGGGAAGAGGAAGAGCCACGAGTGGAAAACTTATCTGAAAAAATAATAAAGGAGAACTTCCCCAATCTGGCAAAGGAAATAGACTTCCAAGAAATCCAGAAAGCTCAGAGAGTCCCAAAGAAGTTGGACCCAAGAAGGAACACACCAAGGCACATCATAATTACATTAGCCAAGATTGAAATGAAGGAGAGAATCCTAGAAGCAGCAAGAGATAAGGAGACAGTCACCTACAAAGGAGTTCCCATCAGACTGTCAGCAGATTTCTCAAAAGACACGTTACAGGCAAGAAGGGGCTGGAAAGAGGTATTCCAAGTCATGAAATCCAAAGACCTACAACCAAGATTGATCTATCCAGCAAAGCTTTCATTTAGAATGGAAGGGCAGATAAAGTGCTTCTCAGATAAGGTCAAGTTGAAGGAGTTCATCATCACCAAGCCCTTATTCTATGAAATGTTAAAGGGACTTATCTAAGAAAAAGAAGATGAAAAAGATTGAACAGTGAAAGGACAGCAACCTCACAGTTATTAAGAACCACACCTAAAACAAAAGCAAACTAAGAGGACAACTAGATCAGGAGCAAAACCATAGAATGAAGATCACATGGAGGGTTAGCAACAGGGGAGTGGGAGGAGGAGAAGGGGGGAGAAGGTACAGAAAATAAGTAGCATAGACAGTAGATAGAAAATAGATAGGGGGAGGGCAAGAATAGTATGGGAAATATAGAATCTAAAGAACTTGAGACACGTGGTCATAAACTAAAGGGGAATGGTGGGGGAGAAGGTGTGCAGGGTTGAGGGGAATAAAGGGGGGAAATAGAATAACTGTAATGGCATAATCAATAAAATATATTTAAAAAAAAAAGAAAAGATAAAATAATCTTAAGTAGTTACCTAAGTAGTTACCATGAATGCTTCCTACTTTGTGTGCAGATCCAGGCTTCTATCTGGTGTTATTTCCCTTCCACCTGAGGGACCTCATTAGTATTTCTTGTGTTGTGGGCCTGCTGATGCTGAATTTCTTTAGCTTTTGTGTGTCTGAAAAATTATTTTAGCTTCTTTTTTTGAAAAACTCTATTTGCTAGCTGTATAGCTCTAGATTGACACTCCTTTTCTGCCGTGTTTTAAAGGTGTTGCCCCACATTCTGCTCCCTTGCGTTGTTCCCAGTGCAAATGTAGTGACGTGTTTTCTCTCTGACTGCCTTTAAAGTTTTCTCTTTATGACTGTTTGGAGCAATTTCATTATATGCCTTGGTGACATTTCTCTTGTTTTTTGTGCTTGGAGTTCATTAGTGTTCTTTGTAGGTTTCTGTCTTCCATCAGATTTGGGGAATATTCAGCAGCCATTCTGCAAATATATTTTCTACACCCATCTCTTCTCTCCTTTTGAGATCGATGAGACAAATGTCAGACCTTTTGATGCTGTCCAGAAGGTCCCTAAGGCTCTGTTAAATTTTTCAGCCTGTTTTCTTGCTATTCTTCAGACAAATAATTCTGCTTATCTATTCTTAATTGACTTTTTTGTCATCTTCATTCTGCTGTTGAGCCTATATCCAGTGAATTTTTTGTTTTTTATATATATATTTTTAGTTCTAAAATTTTCATTTTTTACAGTTTGTATTTGTTTGCAAAAAATTCTTTTAAAAATATATTTTATTTACTATGCTATTACAGTTGTCCCATTTTCCCCCTTTTATTCCCCTCTGCCCTGTATACCCCTCCCACCCATATTCCCCCACTTTAGTTCATGTCCATGGGTTGTACATATAAATTCTTTGGCTTCTACATTTTCTATCCTGTTCTTCACCTTCCTCTGACTATTTTTTACCTACCAGTTATGCTTCTTATTCTCTGTACCTTTTCCCCCTCTCCCCCATCCACTCCCCCACTGATAGTCCTCCATGGAATCTCCATTTCTGTGATCTTGTTGTATTGTTTGCTTAGTTTGTGGTTGTTTTTTTAGGTTTGGTTGTTAATAGCTGTGAGTTTTTAATCATTTTAATGTTCACATTTTTTATCTTTTTCTTAGATAAGTCCCTTTAACATTTCATATAATAAGGGCTGGGTGATGACGAACTCCTTTAACTTGACCTTATCCGGGAAGTACTTCATCTGCCCTTCCATTCTAAATGATAGCTTTGCTGGATAGAGCAATGTTGAATGTAGGCCCTTGCCTTTCATGACTTGGAATACTTCTTTCCAGCCCCTTCTTGCCTGAAAGTTTTCTTTTGAGAAATCAGCTGACAGTCTTATGGGAATGCCTTTGTAAGTAACTGTGGACTTTTCTCTAGCTTCTTTTAAGATTCTCTCCTTATCTTTCATCTTGGCTAATTATGATGTGCCTTGGTGTGTTCCTCCTTGGATACAACTTCTTTGGGACTCTCAGAGCTTCCTGGACTTCTGGGAAATCTATTTCCTTTGCCAGATTGGGGAAGTTGTCCTTCATTATTTTTTCAAATAAGTTTTCAATTTATTGCTCTTCCTCTTCTCCTTCTGGCACCCCTATGACTTGGATGTTGGAACGTTTAAAGATATCCTGGAGGGTTATCAGTGGGGGAAGTTCCTAAGCCTCTCCTCATTTTTTAAAATTTCATTCTGTTCTGGTTGAATGTTTCTTCCTTCCTTCTGCTCCAAACTGTTGATTTGAGTCTTGGTTTCCTTTCTGTCACTGTTGGTTCCCTGTAGATTGTTCTTTACTTCACATAATGCAACCTTCATTGCTGCCTGGGTCTTTTTTATGCTGTTGAAGTACTCAGTGAGTTTCTGGAGCATCATGATAACCAGTGTTTTGAACTCTGCATCTGATAGGTTGGCTATGTCATTGTTGCTTAGTTGTATTTTTTCTAGAGCTTTGAAGTGTTCTTTCATTTGGGCTTTTTTTTTTTTTTGTCTCTTCATGCCTGTTATGTAGTAAGGGGCAGAGTGTTCGGTGTTCATCAGGGCAGGGCAACCCATGTAGTTGTGTTGTGATGTTGTATGTGGGGGAGGGGTCTGAGAGGGAATAACGCCGCTTGCTGTACTTTCTGCCAGTTTTCAGTCACTTCCCTGGTTACTCACAGTCAAATTGGGCCCTTCTGGTGCTGATTCCCAGGTGGGTAGGTTTGTATACATTCTAGGACCCTGTGGGTCTCTCCAACAAACTCTCCTGTGAGGCTGGGAGTTTCTCCTGCTGCCTCATCCCCCACAGGTGTTCTCAGTCAGAGGCTTTGAGGCTTTATTTCTCCACACTGGAACCCTGGGTTGGGCAGTCTGTCTCCGTCCCCAGTTGTTCCTCCTGGTTTATCTGCACACGAATGTGGGACCACCCAGTCCTCAATCCGCCACCTCGCTGGGTCCACCAGCCTTGCCATGAGTCTTCTCCACCCAGTTGCCCATCTCCGCCCCTCCTACTGGTCTGGATGAATATTTCTTCTTTAACTCCTTGGTTGTTGGACTTACATACAGCTCAATTTTCTGTCAGTTCTGGTTGTTTTTGTTTTTAAATTTGTCATCATTCTTTGGTTGTACAAGGAGGCACAGTGTGTCTGCTTATGCCTCCATCTTGGCCAGAAGTCCTGTTTGCAAAGAATTCTTCTGTTCCACTCAGGAGTGCTCACCTTCCCCTTTCCTATGGAGCATGGTTATAATTGCTGCTTGATAATTCCCACTTCTGAATTATCTTGGGTTTGGCACCTGTTGATTATTTTTTCCCTTAACAATTGATCTGATTTTTCTGGTTCTTTGTATGTTGAGTAATTTTGGATTGTATTCTGGAATTTTTAATATTAGGATATGAGCCTCTGCTTTCTTTTAAAATCCTCTGTAGGATATTAAGTTTTCCTTGACCATTTGTTTTAGATTGGGGTCACTGTGGAGCAAAACAGCAATGGAAGTAAGAGGGAAAAAGATGGAGCTTGTCCTCACACAGTCTTTAGACTGCACGGTCCTCGATCCCCAGCTCCAGAGGGAGGGCAGGTTTTCCCTCAGGGCTTCAGGGGACTGCACCGCTGGTGCCATTGTGTAGTGCAGTGCTGGGAGTAGAGCCGGTCCTAGGCAGGAGGAGAGAAAAAAGAGGAAAAGTGCGTGGGGTTCCCCAGTCTGCATGACGCTGCTCTTCTGAGTTCCCTCACCTAGAACAAAGGGTTTCTCTGAGGTTTCTCTTGCCTGTATCTCCCACACAGCCCCAAGTCTCAGTCTGTCCTCAGTTCACCACTGAGCTGCGGAGGAAGGTAAAAACCTAGGAAATCTCCATGAGTTGGTTGTTTTTCACATCTTAATTTCTGGCCCCTGTAGTTTTGTCCTTGCCCAGAGTTTCCAGTGGTATTCGGGAGGAGACAGGGGCTCTCAGGGGCTTCACTCCCTCCTGGCAGGCACCAGAACTGCCAAGATGGTGTTGACACTGAAAGGCTTAGCTTCAATTCCTATGTCAACTCACTTATGGAGATCGGCTTGTTCCTCAGTGGGGCTTTGAAAGTTTGGTCCCAGGAAATAAAGATCTTTTCAGGATTGGGGTAAATGATTTTAGAAATTTGAATAAATGTTTTTTACTTGCCAGTGCTTTACATGAGAAGTCAAATGAGAAACCACTCAGACTGGCTGAGAAGAAAGAACGCAGTGAGAAGAATGGCTGTGTAAAGTACGAATTTTTGTCTTGGTCTAAAATTCTTATCGAAATAATCGTGATGAGATTGTGAGCAGAATTTATGTGTGATTTTATTATAAACGTCAAACCCGCATTCCCACGAAAAAACACACACACGGGTCTTCTGTGGGCTTTGGAGTCAGTGTTCCTTCTCTGTTTACGTAGGGTAGGTTTTTCTGTTGAAAGTTCTCCTCCACTTTAAGTAGACATTTCCTAACCCCCTTTCTGACTCTCTTGGTGAAGCGACCAATTTTATGAAACAAATTACGTACATTTGATCTTGTGGGGCTGTTGATTTCACCTGGGTGGTGTTTGTTTTCTTTCCAGTTTTCTGATGTTAAACAGTTTTATTGCCTGCTGGAGAAACTGTTTAATTATTTGCAGTGTGGAACTAGGAAATTTTTTCATCCTGCCAGACTCGAAAATCATCCACTACAAGTTGTTAATCATAGAATAATAACTTCATTTTGTATTTGTTCAATGCACAAAGTATTTTCCTACCTATAGTTAAGATTTCTTACCATAGCCGCCTGAAGGCCCTCTTACATTTCAAGTACTATGGCAGCTCTGAAGCTACCAGTGTGACCGAGAGTTTGAGACGGTTCAGAAACGGCTGTAGGTCATGCTGTTCATTGGGTAGCTCGGGATGACTGAGGAGAGGGTGCTGTCTCTGCAGTCATCTGCTCCCCAGCTTCCCAAGGGCCACACTGGCCCTATGACAGCCCCTCCTCCAGCAGGAGCTCCTCATGGTACTTCAAGGCCAGGAGCTTTGGAGGCTGCCATGGCACACAGGTCTGGGTGGCACCTTAATTGACATCCTCCTCCCAGGATGTCCTCCGCCCTCTGCCTGAACAGCGTGGCACTACATTGGTTATTTTCCTTGGAACAAAAGACCTTGCATTTTCCATGGAGCTCATTTCTTTCTTTTATTACATGGAGTATTACTTAGTAAGTTAACTCTGTGATAACTCTTTTAGTGTATGTTTTTATATTTGGAAGGTTGTATTTTATCTCCTGTTTGGCTAAGTGCCCTGTATTTAGAACCCACCGATTGAACTACATTAATCCACTGTGGGTTGTAGGGAGCTTGGGAAGTGTTCAAGATTAAAAAGTGAAGAAGGAAGGAGCCAGTGGGTTTTATAGGAACCTGTGATGACCCGGTGATCATGCCATCAGAGCAAGCGGTCCTGGGACTGGCTAGCGGTTCTGTGTCCACAGCCTGCAGGTGGGGGTGGGGTTAGGGGTGGGGGCAGCACGGGACTGGTGTGACCACAGTGGCCTCTGTAGCACAGTGAACAGGGCAAAACAGAACAAGCAGGGATTTCACAGCTGTGCCTTGGGCTGTGTAATTCACTTTACCTCACTTGACCGGTCAAGGAGGAATTAAAACAATAACTCACTGAAGAAGTAGGCACTCTTTTTCTCCTTCAAATTATCCTTTTAACTATTTTACAGATTGTTGCAGTTTTTAAATCCTGATTCTCTGAGAACTGACGGAATCTCTGATCTGCAACAGGTATTGCAATCCTAAAAAAAAAGTAATAAAAATTTTTTTAAAAAAAGAAAATTGTTTACTTTTTAAATCCTTCTTGTTCCCTCTAAACTTGAGATGGGAAGAGAAACTCTTTCAGTTGGAGACCGCCTGAAGACATCCTTTAGAAACTCTCTAGTGAATTAGTGCTTTAGAGAAATGTGGTTTTTTTGGGGGGTGGCAGTAGTTGAAGATCTTCCTTTAATTTTGGTAGTTTTGGTGGGTTTTGATAAGCATATATAGCTAGGTTTTTATCGAAATCAAGCTCTTGCCTTTTTTTCATAAAGTTCTTCTGTGCTAAAGCCACAGGGCAGAGCTGGCTCATGTGTGTGCTCTCTAGTTGCAGAAGCTGAAGGCAGGCACGCAGCCGCCCTCTGCTGTGCTCCGGAGCAGGGTGGAGCCTTGCCTCTCCATCGACACGTCGCCGCTGTCGGCTGGCCTAAAAAAGGTAAAAGTGCTTCTGAAACCAAATTAAAGAAGTACTGCCCTGCCCGAATGTAAAAGGATTTTAAATAAACAGTTCTCCTAATGGTGTATTTGTATGATTTCATTGCTTTTGAAATTCTCTTTTAAACTTTTGTTACTACTTACTCTTTTTATTACTGTTATTATTTTTTACTGTTGTTCAGTTACAGTTGTCCCACTCCCCACTGCCCTGCCCACTCCCACTGTCAGTCTCTGCCCTGTTGTCCATGCCCATGGGTCCTTTATGCATGTTCTTAATTTTTTATTTGTTCTTAAGTCCAGGTTAACTTCTTACAAGTGAATAATTGTTTTGTGGGGAAACCATTGTGCTTCACACAAGTGTATTGTGTGTTGTGGGGAAACTCTAAGTGCTTCTCTGGAATAAGTTCTCAGATGTCCCTGTGGAAAGGGACTCAGAAGGAGCAACAAGCAGCCAGGGCAGTGATGATGCAGACTTCTTAGCGTTATTTTCCTAAGTGCTTTATAGACCTGTGGCTCCACTTAGTAAATTGGTCGCTGATTATCTACTTCCCTCTTGATACAAAAAAAGTTTTAAAGTATTTTTTTAAGATAAAACCATGAGGGTGGATAAAATGAAAGCGAAGTTTAGTGGACAAGGGCTTTCCACAAGTTTCAGGCAATGGAAAACAGGCAGCAGACTGTGACGGACATTCCCGAGGAAGGGGTGAAGTGGGTGGGGGTCTCGAACTTCCCTACACTGTTTCCTGAATGTCCACAGCCAGCCAGTTTCTCAGGAAGGAGGTTGAAGGCTTTTTTTGAGCCTTCAAAAAAAGGCCCTAGAAATGACCTTTAAATGGTCTTTAAAAAAAGATTTTATTTATTTAGAGAGAGGGGAAGGGAGGAAGAAAGTGAGAGAAACGCCAGCAAGCGAGAGCTACATCAGTAAGTCCCCGACTGGGGATCCGGCCCACGACCCAGGCGTGTACCCTCACTGGGAATTGTACCTGCAGCTTTTCAGTTCACAGGCTGGTGCTCAATCCACTGAGCCACGCCAGCCAGGGCAAAAATGACCTTTAGATGATTCTGTCTGGAATTCTCCCAGTAAGAACGCGGGCCTGCTGCCCTTCCTCCCTGCAGCGATGTGGCTCTGACGTGGGACTGAGCTGTGCCCTCGCACACATCTTCCTCTCAGTGCTTAGTGTTTTCCTCCACATGAGCAGAACATCGGGGATCTTTGGGTATTCGGGAAAAACCCTCACCCTTGGACAAACAGATGAAAACAGACTCTGAAGTAAACAATGTAGGGAGAAGAAAACATTAGAAATGAAATGTCCTCCAAGATAGGATTTATTACTGTATGAATTTAACAATAACAGGGCACTATAGATTCTCAGAAATTCAAAATGTTATGTAAATTAAAAAATCAGTAGTTGAGAGGTCAGACTGAAGCTAACTATCAGAAAGTATTACAGAGCAAAAGATAGACGGAGATAAGAAGGAAAAGAGGAGTTGTGTGTCACTTTGAGGCCTGGTGTCTGAAATGAAAAAGGAAGGGAAAGGGCAGAAAATTCAAAGAAGAGTGACCGTGAGGGATTTCTAGACCTAATGGACACGACCGACCAAATCAAGGGGTTTTACCTGCAGCAGGCCCAGCACACGAGGAACAAGACAGGTAACGGTGTTGTGAAGCCTCTGAACTGGAGGGGTTCAGAGATCCTGGTAGATCCCGGAGAGAGGAAACTGGCCCCACACACAGGATCGGGAAGTTATTTCTTACCTGTATAGGTCTGCACTTGAACTGTCAAGGAGGTCTGAGGCTCGCAGGAAGACGTTGACAGACATGCAGTCCTCGGACTGACTTCCTCTATGCCCCTTGTCAAGAAACTACCGAAATATGTTTTCTACCAACACAAGAAAGTAGGCAAGAAAGAAGGCAGCTTGAGTTGCAGACAAAGGGCGATGGCGGTGCAGGGAGCTCCCAGGACGGCAGCTGCATACCAGGTGCAGCTCGGAATCAGTCCTGACTGCAGTGGGGTTCAGGGCTCGGGGAGGGCGCACGGACTTCATGGAGGTGATGGTGCTGATGGGGTCAGCCTTTTGGAAAATAGTATTGAACTTTTGGGAGGGAGGTTTTAGTGACAGTAACATAGAAAATAAGCAAATAACGATATGTTTTTAAAAAGCTTTACAAGTGAAACTGATGTACCAGCAGATTTTGAGAAGGAGGAGAAGAAGCCACATCCTTGCTCTGGTGAGCCTCAAGCACCTGGTTGGTCAGTGGATCCTTTACTTCGGAGCCTAGGGAAGCCAGAGCCTTGTAGCAGGAGTTTGGTGTTTGAAAAGGTTCAGTGGGGCTTACAGAGTTAGGTCTTGAAAATACCACACTGAGCAATGTATACATGTGGTTTGGGTAAGTGAGCAATGAGGTGGGTTTTTAACAATTAGTTTACTTTATTGTGGTTTTCGGTTGTTGATGTTTTGTAGGCTCTTCAAAGAAATAAGTTTCTGGGACCTAGCCACACTGAATCTTACTCTTGGCCTCCCATAGCACGTGGCTGTGACGTGGTTGTCATTTCTCAGTGTGGAAATGACCCTTTGTTGTACCTTCCACCAGTGCTTACGATTTTGCAGACAGGGGGCTGCTACAAGTCATTACCAAGTAGAAACGGAGTAAGTTGAAGACCATTTTGTTTCACAACACAGTGGATTGAATGTTTATTGTAAGTCGCACACCTTGCCTTTGGTGAACTTCAGGTCGCATCACTCATTTGGTGTACGTGCTGGCAGGACAGCCAGTGTCCTGTGAGGAACCTTCCCCAGGTCACGGCCATTGCTTCCCTCACAGAGACTCTCCTGTGGCCCCCACTTCTGTGCCACCTATTGGGTCAGAAGAGCCCTGGCTTGTAGAGACAAATATTTGGTTTATAAAAAGTACCTCACTGACTTAATACGATTGTCACGGCAACCCTGTGAGATGGTCAGGCCAGGTATTCTTTTCACCATTTTATAAATGAGAACATTAGATTCATGAAAAGTCACTGGGGTGAGTTCTCAGCAGCTGGCAAGTGAGACGAGGATGTGGGTTTTCTGTCGTCTCGTGTTCTTTTCAATAACTTCACGCTGCCCCCACACTGCCTTTTAAGCCTGCTTTGTTTTTCCCATGTGGAGGAGTTTGAAAATAGCTGAGAAGGATGATGGAGAGGAGAGAACTGGGGCGCGGGGACCAGATGATAGTGGGTGGTGGCCTCTGCTCTGCTGGGTTGGGCTGTTGGGGGAGCCGGCCTGCCGAAGGCCTGTGCTTGGACCCTGCTCCCAAGGACACACCAGGATATGGTGAAAATTAGCAGTGCAAAAAGATACTTAGAATTGCATTTCAGAAAAGATACTAGTTTATTTTTCTAATTATTCTAGGTACTTTAATGATTTTCCTTTGGAAATCTGCATTGGCTAAATTATTGTGTATTGATTCAATAAAACAGAATGGACACAGTTATATCCCTCAGTTAGTTGGCAGTTGGCCCATGTCGATGAGATGCGGCTTGCGTGGAGACAGAACCCTGGCTGGGCTAGGCAGGGATGTCCACGTCTCGGCTCTTGTGTCCACTCTGCTTTCTCTGCATCTCTATGGTCAGCCTGCTTTTAGTCCTAACACCTGGAAGCTGGCACTCGCCCGGAAAGCAGAGACTCATTCTTGTCTTCAGTAAAAAGGCAGGTGTCCAGGAAGGTGTTTGGCAGGCTGCGCACCTTGGGGAGATACCCGTGGGGTAGTGCAGGCAGAAAATGCAGTCTCCTGCAGAAAAGATGTTAACCTTTTTAAGGCCCCTTTCAGGAAGCACTTAGTTCACCCTGGTGCTTAGGAGTGGGAGCCCCAGAGTCAGACTGCCTGGCTGCAGACCCTGTTGCCACCACGTATTAGCTGCGCAGCCTCAGGCAACCGACTCCAGCTGTCTGCGCCTCAGATGCCCCTGTGGGAAGGGAGGCAGTGAGAGGTCCTGTCCTGTAGAAGGGCATTAAGGACTGAGTGAATCAATGCCTGTGAAGCACTTAGTTCAAGCCCTAGGAAAATCCGAGTTAATGCATGTACATCCATTTTAATATATGTTTAATATATGTTTTTTGACCTATTTGTGATCATAATGATGATGATAAAAATTTATGTAGTGCTTACTCCGTACAAGAAGATGTTCTGCATGCTTCACAGATACTGTGTTCCATTCCTAACTTTTGTCCAAAATTATGTGAATTTGTTTGTCTTTGCAGCCTCTGGCAGTCATCGTGTGTCCTGGGTGGAGAAAGGCCCAATTTATTTTTGAATTATTGGGAGAGTATAGCGTGTCCTCCAGGCCTCTTCATCCTATGGTGTTAACCATTGGACTCCACAAAGACGAAGCCAAAAATGTGAAGCTTCCAAGGGGTTGTAAGCATCCTTCCAAGCTGTTTGCTGTTCCCTACAGAACACGGTGGACGCCTGCCCAGGCAGCCTGGGAGCTGCAGCTGGCGCAGGACTGTGTGGCTGCAGTGACGGCCACTAGTTCAGACCACCCCCATTAATTACCGATGGGTGTAGGTGATGGACGTTTGATTTTGGCTTACCTCTGTGAGAAAAAGAGAACACTGCGTAATTTCATTCATTTATCAACTGTCTGCTGAACACCTACTGTTTGTTAGATGTTGACCGAAACCCTCCCTTTCTTTCAGGAGTGCAAAACGTGGTGGGAGCCCAGGAATTTAATCAGATAATGAGAGGGGTTGTTAGCCGGGCAGGCTCACTTCTGCCTAGCCCACCTGAGTGAGAAAAACTGTTTTGTTTTCCCTCACCCAAGGACATGAGAGAGGGAGGGTGGGGTGGGGAGAGAGAGAGAAACATTGATGTGAGAGAGAAACGTCAGTTGGTTGCCTCTCGTGAGCACCCTGACTGGGGATTGAACCCTCAACCAAGGCAGTATGTGCCCTGACTGGGAATCAAAACCACCACCTTTTGGTTATGAGATGGCACTCCAACCAGCTGAGCAACACAGGCCAGGGCATTTTCTGTTTTCTTAGAAGGCATTTCTACAGAGAATCTGAAGTCTTAGGAAAGGAAGTGCTAGAAAAACCTGTGGGAAGTCTAAAATGTTAATGTTTTTTCTTTTAAAATATAGGTGATATAATTGTTACAACACCACATAGCCTCTTGAGACTTCTCAAATATCAAAGCTTGTTATTTCTTAGACTCTGCCACCTCATTTTGGATGAGGCGGAAGTACTGCTCTCTGAAGCTAATGAACAAGTAAGTATGGCATCCAGTTAGATGTCGTTACTACTCAGAAATAGATATATAATAAAGTCTTTACTGTTTTTAGGATTCAGGAAAAATATCTATTTGGGATAGAAGCTGGTTAATCTAAAAAATTTTCCCTTTAATTTCTATAATTAAGAGAATATTTATTCTTCCCAGTGTTGAAGTTTTCTTTAAAAAGCAAAAATTCTTTCCTATGCAAGTTTTCGAAATTATTTAATTAATATGTTTCAAATTATAAAAGCAATTTTTATGTTAGAAATTCTGAGAAATAGAGGAGAGCACTTGAAAAACCTTAACATCCATAATCTTATACTCAGAGGGAATCACTATTTCACTATGTTGGAGCATGTATTTTTTGTAATTCCTCTGTCGAGAGAGGAAATAACCAAGTCAGTATCTTTATGTGCGAATTGGTCACTTGAGTTCTTCAGTCAGTAGCATTGTGTTGTTACTCGTCCGCAGTGTGATCATTACTGGCCATAAGGCCTTGAACCCTATGGACAGATCAACTTACTTTATGGTCGTCTTGTTTTTAGACATTTAGCATCATTGTGTGTGTGTGTGTGTCTGTCTGTATAAAGAGTATACATCTTGTTAGCACTTTTCCCTGAGTGTCAATTCTTTGGAGGGGGATCATGGATCAAAGACTGAATTCTTATCTGGCATTTGTTGGAAGCCATGTGACATGGTGACCAGGAGCATTCATTTGGGAGCAGGTTTCAGTCCAAGCTTTGTTACTTACTGACTCTGGGAGCCTGTGCAGGGTTTCTGAACGCCTGCAATCTCAGTGTTTATTGTAAAACTAATACCGGAGTCCCGCATTCTACAGTTGCCTGTCTGAAAGAATGGACCAATTTGTACTCCCCTGGGCGGCGGGCCACCATGCTCACGCCCTTCAGCCTGGCAGGGGGTGCCTCGGTCCAGCTTTCCTTTCTGGTCTCATGATTAAACATGGCATCTGATTGACTTAATCTGTATTTCATTGATTACATGTTGGCCATTTGTTCCCATTCTTCCATGAGCTGCTTATTACTTTGCTTATTTTCTCTTGGTGGGACTGTTTTTTTCTAATTAGTTTGTTAAAGTTCTTGTGTAAGGATGTTAGTCCTTTGTTACATGTGTTATGTATATTTACCCAGATGTTAATGTTTTAGTTTTGTGTACACCTAACATTTTCCCCTTTTTTATTTTTTCCTTTACTTTTATGTTTGTAAAGGCCTTTCCCACTTTGAAAATAGAATATGTTAAATTCTGTCAAAAGAATTATTATTCTCTTAAAATAAAAATGAAATTATGCTAATTTTTTAGGTGTTTGCTATACTAGACCACTTTAAAAAAAATACTGAAGTTGAAGAAAGGGAATCCGCACCACACCAGATTGTTGCAGCTGGGGTTCGCTGGAGCAGGCGCCTGGAGCACGTCATCAGGGAGTTCATGACCGAGCCCTACGTCGTCATCACCGCCATGGAGGAGGCCGCGCTCTACGGCAGCGTCCAGCAGGTACTGAGTCGGGGGTGTGGAGGGGCTCCTCAACACCAGCAGGTAACTTTCGTTTCATGGATTAATATTAATATTAAAAGATTACAGCAAGGGTTTAAGATGGCGTCGGAGTAAGAGGGAGCGGATTCTAGCTCCCACACTCGTGGGCGAAAATCCTGGCAGATCTATAGAAAAGCAGCGCACTAATCCATCAGTTATCCAGCATTTGTGAAATTGAAAGAACAGAGACTCTGTTGGACGCTGAAACACCAGAAAGCGGCAGGTCAGTGGGGCTTTGGGGACCAGTTTAAAGACAAAGCAGCGGCGGGGGCTGGTGCCCCAGGCCAGGTGGCCCCGGTGCTGCATCTACGGCCGGGGTCCAGAACCATTGGTCTGAGACCAACGCCAGAGAGGTCTACCACAGGAGCTTGGGCACCCAGCGGCTCCAGTGGCCACCAGCGTGAGACAGCAGCTCCCCCGCTTCCCGTATAAGCAAAACTGGACAACACCGGGCAGAGACCTGTCTGCTTGCCGCCTTGCATTTTCGGGGAGGGGTACAAAGACACAGGGCCCGGTTCAACTGCAGACTGTGTGATCGCAAGCCTGGGAGAATCCAGAGACGCATTAGCCTCACAGGTTTGGTTGGGGACTGAGCGGGAATGAGAGACAGGCTGTCTGGAAAGTTTTGTCTTGTTTTTTGTTTTGTTTAATTGAAAGTGGACTGAGGTGTTCTCCTGCCAGGGCAGCTTGGCTTGCTTCCTATACGGCCTTGCAGCGAGCCAGGGGGAAAGTGGAGGCATTTGGGGACTAGCCACACGAATGGGAAGCGCCCTGCCGGTTACTCCGGGTCCCAGAAGGGCTGGTGGAAGTGGAGGCCTCTGAGCCACCACCAGGGGACTGGGAAGCCCGCTGCCGGTTACGCCAGTCCCAGAAGGACGAGCTCGTGGGCGCAGAGAGTTCGGAGAGGCGCCGCGGGACAAAGACGCTCCCTGCCGGTTTCTTGCTCGCACGCATTGCCGGACTCTTGTGCGCACTGGCGCAGAGATCTTTGAGCTGGGGCTACTGGACCTAGAAGCGCCAGCCGGTTTCTCGCGCGAGCCGGGGTGCAGAGAACTCTAGGCTGACGCCTCTAGGATCGGGAAGTGCATTGGGGCCGGCGTGGACTGGGAAGCGCAGGTTGCGCAGTCCCAGACTGCCCCGGGAGTGTGCCCGGCAAGTGTGCAGGTGCCCACACCCCAATCTGGTAGCCTGACTGGTGTGCGCGGCGGGTGTGCAGGCACCCACACCCCAATCTGGTAGCCTGGCTGGTGCACACAGAGAGATCCTGCTACAACTAGAAAAACCAGTCTGGACAGTTTGAAACCAAGAAGGGAAGGGTTTCTCTGTTGTTGTTATTGTTTATTTGTTTTTTTGCTGTTTACTTGTTTGATTTTGGTTTTTTTTTTAATTTTTTTATGTTTTTTTTCCTTTTTTTAGTAATTTTTTTGTGCATTCGTTTAGTAACCTTATATATTTTTTAAATTTTATCACTGCTTTATCTCTCTATACTTTGTTCCTCTCCTTTCTTTTTCCCTGTTTTAGTCCTTCTCCCTTTCCTCTTAAACTCATTGCTTTTGCCTCTTCTGCTGCCTTTTCATTTGACTGTATGTTGCTTCGTTTCCTTTTACCTGCAAGAGACACAAACAACTAGGAACTGTGAAAGGACCAGAATGGGACCCGAAGAGGGGGCATCTCAACAGTAGAGACAGAGAAACAAACTTCACCTTCCTATAGCAGAGAAGCCACAAGGAGATGCATATTTTTTTTCATTATTTTCACCTCTTTTATATTTTAATAATCTCTGTATTCCTCCTTTTTCTGTAGAGGCTTCTTAGTCTCGAGTATTGTATTATTAGACAGGCTCCCCCTGTCCTTTCCTCCACTGTGCTTTGCTAATCCTCTAAACTCCATGTCACTTGTTTTCCTTTAGCACACTACCTAAAGCACTATACCCCCTACTCAGACGGATCACATAGAGATTGTTATACGAGTGCTGCTCTAATATTAGTGTAAATAATAGCTGATCTACACAACAGTAAATAGTTCACACCACATCTCCCGGATCTTTGCCCATTGTACAGGTCCCTGAACTCTATCACTGTAGTGGTTACCTCTATTTGCTCACACACCAAGCCTATTTACTGTTCCTTATACTCACCTTACCTCAAAATCTGACCATCTAAAACCTCACTGCTTTCTAGTTACAACTAACAAGACCTCCCTCCCCAACAAGAGGCTTATCTTTTGTCCATCCTCTCGTAAAAGTGTCAAGTTGGGCTGAAGAATACGGTTAATACAATATACAGTCTAAAGATCGCCTATCTCCTCTCTACCAGCTGTGACTGTAAATATCATAAAAAACTCTTATGCTGTCATAAACCATTTTGCCTCCTCCTACAACTGATTACACATACACAATAAAAGGAGAAGGTGGAAACGGAGAACATCAAGAACCTGAAGGAGCCTGCACCACTGAAATTCACAGGTATTATACCACAGAAGTTCACAGCATAAACCCAGGGAGTCAGAACAGATCAATTTTAGAAGCTGAGGCCAACAAGAAGAGTCTCACAAACAATGGGAAGGCAAAGAAACAATCCCCAAATGGAAGAAAAAGCAGAGGCTTCAGAAAGAATGTTAGATGAAATAGAGGCTAATCAACTATCAGATAGTGAATTCAAAGCACTGGTAGTCACAAAGTTCAAAGAGCTCACGATGAGCTACCAAAAACTACAGGGAAGCTACAATGACCTCACCACAAACTATATCAACATGAAAAAGGAAATAGAAACTATCAGCAAGGGACAAGAGGAAATGAAGAATACAATCTCTGAATTGAAGAACACAGTAGATAGTTTCAAAAGTAGGATAGAAGAGGAGGAGGATGGGATTAGCAAGCTGGAGGACAAAGTAGAAAGCATCTCATAGAAAGAGCAGGAAAATGAAAAGAAACTTAGAAAGAATGAAGAGGGATTAAGAGAAATACAAGACAATATGAAACGTAATAATATCCGAATAATAGGGATACCAGAAGGAGAAGAAGAAGAACAAGGAATAGAAAGCATATTTGAAAGAGTAATGAGAGAAAATTTTCCTAATTTGATGACAGAAAAAGTCACACAAATCCAGGAATCATGGAGAGTCCCAATCAAGAGGAACCCAAGGAGGCCCACTTCAAGACACATCATCATCAAAATGGCAAAATTCCAAGACAAAGAGAGAATCTTAAAGGCAGCAAGGGAGAAAAAAAGAAGTAACATACAAGGGAGCCCCAATAAGGTTAGCTACTGACTTCTCAATGGAAACACTCCAAGCAAGAAGAGAATGGCAAGAAATATTCCAAGTAATGAGAACCAGAGGCCTACAACCAAGGCTACTTTACCCAGCAAGGCTCTCAATCAAGATAGAAGGCCAAATAAAGAGCTTCCAAGACAAAAGAAGTCTAAAAGAATATGTCTCCACCAAACCAGTCCTACAAGAAATACTAAAAGGACTACTTTAAGGAAAGGAAGGAAAAGTGAGAGACAGAGAAGAACACAGGTACAAAAATGGCAATGAATAAGTACCTATCAATAATAACCTTAAATGTAAATGGATTAAATGCTCCAATCAAAAGACACAGAATAGCTGAATGGATAAGAAAGCATGACCCTCACATATGTTGCCTACAAGAGACCCACCTCAGGACAAAAGACCATCACAGACTAAAAGTGAAAGGCTGGAAACAAATTTACCAAGCAAACGGACAAGAAAAAAAAGCTGGGGTAGCAATTCTCATATCAGACAAAATAGACTTCAAAAAGAGGACCATAAAGAGAGACCCAGAAGGTCACTTCATAGTACTCAAGGGAAGAATCCACCAAGAAGACATTAACATCGTAAATATATATGCACCCAACATAGGAGCACCAAAATATATCAAGAAAATCTTAGAGGACTTCAAGAATGATATTGACAGCAACACAATTATAGTTGGGATTTTAACACCCAACTATCAAAAATGGACAGATCTTCCAAACAAAATATCAATAAAGATATTGTGTCATTAAACAACACCCTAGATGAAATGGACTTAACTGATATAGATAGAGCTTATCAAAGAAGCTAAATAACATTCTTTTCAATGCAATGGAACATTTGGAGCTAATCAGGAAAATTGATAAAAGGACTGAATTGGACTAGAGGAAATCATGGAGACTGAATGGTATGCTACTAAACAATGAATGGGTCAAGAATGAAATTAGGGAAGAAATCAAAAAGTTTCTGGAAACAAATGAAAACGATCTCACAACAACCCAAAACTTATGGGACACAGCCAAGGCAGTCCTGAGAGGGAAGTTTATAGCAATACAGGCCTACCTAAGGAAGACAGAAACATTTCAAACAAACAACCTTACTCTACGCCTGCAAGAACTGGAGGAACAACAACAAAAACAGCCCAAAGCAAGTAGAAGGAAGGAAATAACCAAGATCAGAGCAGAACTAAATGACAGAGATTAAAAGCACAATCCTAAGGATTAATGAATCCAGGAGTTGGTTCTTTGAAAAGATAAACAAAATAGACAAGCCTTTAAGTAGGCTCATCAAGAAAAGAAGGGAACAGACACAAATAAACACAATCAGAAATGAAAGAGGAGAGATTACAACTGATACCACAGAAATAGAAAGGATTGTAAGAAATTACTATGAAGAACTGTATGCCAAGAAATTTGAGAACCTAGGGGAAATTGACACATTTTTAGAAAAATATAATCTCCCAAAACTCAATGAAAAAGAAGTAGAAAACCTGAATAGACCAATAACAGCAAAAGAAATTGAAGCAGTAATCAAAAAACTCCCATCACACAAAAGCCCCGGACCAGATGGGTTCACAGGAGAATTCTACAAAGCATTTAAAGAAGAGCTAACTCCCATTCTTCACAGACTATTCCAAAAAATTCAAAAGGATGGAAAACTCCCAAACTCCTTTTATGAAGCCAGCATCATCCTAATTCCAAAACCAGATAGAGATACAACAAAGAAAGAAAACTTCAGGCCAATATCGCTGATGAACATAGACGCTAACATCCTCAACAAAATATTGGCAAATCGCATCCAACAATATATCCAAAAGATTATACACCATGACCAAGTGGGATTCATCCCAGGGATGCAAGGATGGTTCAACATTCACAAATCAGTAAATGTAATTCATCACATAAACAAAAGCAAAGACAAAAACCACATGATCATATCAATAGATGTGGAAAAAGCTTTTGATAAGGTCCAGCACCCATTTATGATAAAAACACTCAGCAAAGTGGGAATAGAGGGAGCATTCCTCAATATAATAAAGGCCATATATGAGAGACCTACAGCCAATATCATACTCAATGGGCAAAAACTAAAAGCTTTTCTACTAAGATCAGGAGCAAGACAAGGATGTCCACTTTTACCACTTCTATTCAATATAGTATTAGAAGTTTTGGCCACAGCCATCAGGCAGGAAAAGGAAATAAAAGGCATCCAAATAGGAAAGGAGGAAACAAAACTGTCACTGTTTGCAGATGACATGATATGTACATGGAAAATCCTATAGACTCTACCCAAAAACTGCTCAAACTAATTAATGAATTTGGCAAAACAGCTGGTTACAAAGTCAATATCCAGAAATCAAAGGCATTTTTATATACGAACAATGAATCAGCAGAAGCAGAAATCAAGGAAAAAATTCCATTTGATATAGCAAAAAGAAAAATAAAATATCTGGGAATAAACCTAACCAAGGAGGTAAAAGACCTGTATGCAGAAAACTACACAGCACTGAAGAAAGAAATCAAGGAAGACACAAACAAATGGAAACATATACCTTGTTCCTGGATTGGAAGAATTAACATCATCAAAATGTCCATACTACCCAAAGCAATATACAGATTCAATGCAATACCTATTAAAGTACCAATGGCATATTTCACAGACATAGAACAAACACTTCAAAAATTTATATGGAACCATAAACGAGCCCGAATAGCAGCTGCTCTTTTGAGAAAGAAGAACAAAGTAGGAGGGATCACAATACCTGATATCAGTATTACAAAACTGTATTACAAAGCCACTGTAATCAAAACAGCCTGGTACTGGCATAAAAACAGGCACATAGACCAATGGAACAGAACAGAGAGCCCAGAAATCAACCCAACTCTCTACAGTCAATTAATATTTGACAAAGGGGGCAGTAACATCAAATGGAGTAAAGATAGCCTCTTCAGCAAATGGTGTTGGGAGAACTGGACAGCTACGTGCAAAAAAATGAAACTTGAGCACCAACTTACACCATACATCAAAATAAATTCAAGGTGGATAAAAGACTTAAATATAAGCTGTGACACCATTAAAGTCCTAGAGGAGAACATCGGCAAGAAAATCTCAGATATTCCACGCAGCAACATTTTTACCAATATGTCCCCTAGAGCAAGGAATATACAGGAAAGAATAAACGAATGGGATCTCATCAAAATAAGAAGCTTCTGCATGGCCAAAGAAAACAGTATTAAATTAAAAAGACAACCAACTGTATGGGAAAACATATTTGCCAATGATACCTCAGACAAAGGTTTAATCTCCAAAATATACAAAGAACTTACACGACTCCACTCTAGGAAGACATCGAACCCAATTAAAAAATGGGAAAAGGACTTGAACAGACACTTCTCCAAAGAGGACATAGAGAATATCCAGAGACACATGAAGAGGTGCTCAATATCGTTAGCTATCAGAGAGATGCAAATTAAAACCACAATGAGATACCACTTTACACCAGTCAGGATGGCTATCATAAACAAAGCAACAAACAACAAATGTTGGAGAGGTTGTGGGGAAAAGGGGTCCTTAGTTCACTGTTGGTGGGATTGCAGACTGGTACAACCATTATGGAAAACAGTATGGAATTTTCTCAGAAAAATAAAAATCGACCTGCCTTTTGACCCAGCAATTCCACTGCTAGGATTATATCCCAAGAACCCTAAAACATCAATTTCAAAGAACCTATGCACCACAATGTTCATAGCAGCACAATTTACAATAGCCAAGAGTTGGAAGCAACCAAGGTGCCCATCAGTAAATGAATGGATAAAAAAATTGTGGTACATATACACAATGGAATTCTATGCAGCAGAGAGAAAGAAGGAGCTACTACCCTTTGCAACAACATGGATGGAACTGGAAAGCATTATGCTGAGTGAAATAGGCCAGGCATTGAAGGACAAATACCATATGATCTCACCTTTAACAGGAAGCTAAAGAACAAAATAAACAAGCAAATAGAATAAAAACAAAGACACTGAAATAGAGAACAAGTGGGCAGCGACCAGAGGGGAGAGGGAAGGGAATTTAAGGGGAAAAACGGGGAGGGATTTTGAAGAACAAGTATGAAAGACACAGGGATGAGGACTGTGGGGGGGGGGGAATGGGAGGGAGGTGGGGAGACGGGACGGAGGGGGGGCTGGGATGGGAGAAAATGACAAAAAAAAACTGTACTTGAAAAATAACCAAATAAATTTTTAAAAAATTAAAAGATTACAGCTTTAATTTCATATGTAAATCTGTTAATTGTGAATTTAAATCCATATTGATTTCCTATACATTCATTTCTATTAAAATCATATCTATGAAAAGTAAAACTGTGTGGGGACGACTTTCCTCACAAGTCCCCCTGGGTTCCACAGATGAGAGTAAAGATGACAGAGACATGATGTGATCTGCTTGGGGAGGAGAGGTGGCCAGTTTCCCAGAGGAAAAAGGCCTTGAGCAGTGGCCAGTTTCTCAGGGGAAAAAAGGCGTTGAGCCCCTTCCTCTAAGGGCTTTTATTGGGTTGTAATACATAGGAATACAGGGCGGCAAGGATCAAACAGTAGATAACATTTCAAAGAAATCTGAGGGCTTAGTATGAGTCAGTCTGTCAGGAACAGAGTTTTAGAGTTTCCTGCTCGAACCCTTAACATATGAATGAAAGCACTCTTAGCAGAGTAGATTTCACAGGTTTATCAGGAAGTCTTTGTGATGCCAGGTTTTTCCCCAGGACATGCTCTAGCAGGTCAGGGAGCTGTACCCCTCCCCATCAGGTATTCAGGCTTAAGGGGATTAGAGCCAGGAAGCACTTCCCCAGAGAACATGGGGACTTGGGCTATGTCAAAGAGGGGGGGCACGAGAGTCCATTGCTCTTTGTTGCAGCACCCCCCGCAGTCCTTCTATGAAGGCCTCCCAAGTGGTCATGTCTGGCCTAAATTGCCCCTGCTCTGTGAGGGGTCTTACCTGTCATTGACTTCCAACCAAGCTTTAGGAGCAGGGAGAGGAACTGAAGCAGCGTTTGCTACCAGAGACAGGCTTTGTCTCCTGTGGCTGGCATTCCAAAGGTCGTCTCTCACCCTTAGCCACAAGGGGTCGAGATACAATTCCTAGAACCAGGCAACAAAACTGGAGCACCTTGAACATTTTAAAAATCACATTGTTTCTCTATTTCATTGCTAGGTTGTACATCTTTGCCTAGAAAGTGAAAAGACTTCTACTTTACTCCAGGCTCTTGATTTCATCCCCAGTCAGGCACAGAAGACCTTGATCTTTACCTGTTCTGTAGCCGAAACTGAAACAGTGTGTAAGGTGAGTCCTCCACACATAAAATGTTCTTACTGTTTAAACTATGATTGAATTTGCTGAAGTAGTTAAAGGTTTGATGGGGGAATCAAATTTTACAAGTTCAGCATCAGTCAGAGTGGGTTCTGCTGCAAAGCAGTGGTAGCTGTGAAGACGAAGAGCAGGCCTGACACTGAGGGGAGGGACCAAGTAGGTGGAACAGCCTTTCCACGGAAGCACAGGCCCCTGGGGCGAGGTCAGGGGGGCGGGAGGGGTAGGGCTGGGCTTCGCATTTTGTCTCCGGGGAGCAATGAAAGGATACTGTTCACAGAGACAGGCCACCCTTTATTTAAGAAAATACAGAAGGTTAACAGTAAATACATCATTATGTAGCCAGAAAAGCCAAATAAGTTGACTAGAGATTTATTTAATCTAATTATGTATAAATTAACAGTAAAATGTAGAAATAAGGCCAAATATAAAATACAATAACAAAATCAGTAGTACCTCCACATTTCAGCAATGGTGAACTAGCAGGTGTAACTAAGAAGACAGTAGTGCCATGGTTGGGTATATACACACACAATTAGCCTCAAACAGCACAGGTGTGAGCTGTGCAGGGCCACTTACCACATGGGTTTTCCCAGTGACTGCATTCAGTGCTGTGAATGCATTTTCCTTATGACTTTAACATTTTCCTCTGGCTTTATTGTTACAATGTAGGATACAATACGTATAACATACAAAATGTGTGTTAATTGACTCTGTGTGTTAGCAGTAAGGCTTCTGGTCAACAGTGGGCTAGTAGTCATGTTTTGGGGGAAATCAAAAGTTATAGGTAGACTTTTCACTATGTGGAGGGTCAGCACCCCTGACTCATGTATTGTTCAAGGGTCCACGGTACACACACACACCTGTATGGGTGTGTACACCCAGTGTGCATGTGTACCCACGGTGTGTGTGTGCACGGTGTGCATGTATACGCACAGAGTATGCACGTGTACACCCAGTGTGTGTGTGTACTCCCAGTGTGCACGTGTATATTTGGAAAGGAAGGAAAATAGTTTTAGCAAAATAATGTCAGTTTCACTTGAGCAAGTTTTTAGATATAAACTGTAGAATTTTGGCAATATATTTATGTAAATTACCAGTCATAAGAATTATTTGTCCAGTGAGCTAATATGCTCACAGATAGTTTTCAATGGTTTATCTTGATGATTATTGATACAACAATTAACTTCAAGCTTACGTTCTTGACTGTGACCTGGCCTTTTGGTTTCATCTTTAGGTAGTAGAAAGCTGTTCAGTATTTTGCTTGAAAATGCATAAAGAAATGGTTTTTGATTTAAAAAGTGTATTAGAACAGTGGAACAAGAAGTTAAGTTCTGGCTCTCACATTGTATTAGGTAAGTGTTTTAACTTCTCCGTAATCCACAGAAGGCTGAGCGTTTAAGAAGCATGTCTTTTATAGATTTCCTCTCCAAATTCCTTACCACTTCCCAGATTTATTGAGAATTTACTTGTCATCTTAATTTCAAAGTGAAACTTCACCACGGTAAAAATGTAACTGCTGAAGTGGGTCTGGGTGCTCCCAGGGCCCCGGGTGATTAGGCGGCCGCCACCTGCAGTCCGAACAGTGTCCCTGCAGTTGCAGCGGAGGGATGCTGCTGTCTCATCCCTGTGTACACCTGTGCCTGTCGTAAGGGACTGTGAAATTTAGCGTTAGAAGTTTAGAAGTCAGAGTTTATAAAGTGTAAAATAGGCATGGGCAGCCTAGATTTGTAATAAAAAGAGGCAATTTTTTAAGCTAAAAGAAGACCACTTTTCTCTGGAATTTAATCACTGGGCTGTGACATTGTTTGGAAAAAAATGAGACAGAGGTTTCTTTGCATGTAAAACGCAAACTACAACAAAGCAATGTGTGGAGTACCATTGCTGAGATTGCTCGGCAGGGGCGGTGCCGCAAAGCCCTGGCTGCGCCTGACGCTGTCCGGTTCCTTCCTTCCAGCCCTGACCGACGACTGCACGCCCCTCTCAGCCATCACCGACGCCACGTGTGTCATCCACTTCACCTTCCCTGCCTCGCCCAGAATTTTTGGTGAACGCCTGTATTGCATGTCTGATCATTTTCAGAGTTTAACTGAACAGGTTTGATGAACTTTTATGACATTTAAATATTCCACTGTGCAATAAAAATTCAGAGTCCACAAGTGTTGTCCTTGAGTCTGGTATGGATGACCCACTTCCTTTATTCACCCCCATTTGAAGGGTTCTCCTGCAAAACAGGGAGATACAAAAACCAGATCTGTCTTGCTGCTGACGGAGAGGAGCGCAGGCCATGCTGTTGGAGTTCTGCGCTACTTGGAGAGAGCAGACGCCAAGATCCCGTCGGAGCTGTATCAGTTTACTGCAGGGGTTCTCGAAGCTAAGGAAGAGAAAAAAGCCAGAAGGCCTCTTTGTCCATGTCTTAAGGCTTTTGGATTTTGCAAGTAAGCCAGTCATCTCCTTTTGTCATTGAGACACACAGTAAAGTACACAGATGATCAGTTCACAGCTTGCTGAATTGTTACATATGTATGCTTCTGTGCAAACCAGCACCCAGCTCTGAAGATCATACATACATCGCAGTGTACGTGTCCATTCTTCTCCTGATGGACCTGTGGGCTGTTTCCAGCTTAGTTGGGCTTTTATGTAGGAAGCTCCTATGATCATTCTTCTACCTAAGTTTGTGTAGAAAATGAACCCATTTCTCTTAGGTATATATTTTGGAGTGGAATTGCTGGGTCATGGGATAAACATGTTTAACTTTGTCAAAGTGGTTGACCATTTTATGGTTTAGTCAGTAATGTGTGAAAAAGTTTGAGTTCCTTCATATCCTCACCCACAATTAGCATCTGGGGTGTAGTGGAAGACCGCTGTGATTTTCACTGTGTTCCCCTAATAATTAATGGTGTTGAATGTCTTTTCATATACTTGTGGGACATTAGTCCATCCTGTTTTTTGTGGTGCACCTGCCTGTTCGGGTCTTTTGCCCACTTTTTAAATGGAGTGTTTATCTTTTTCTTACTGGTTGGTTTGTGTGGTTAATTTATTCTGGATGTAAGTGCTTGGTCCAATACATGCTTTGAGAATATCCTCTCCCAGTCTGTGTCTTGTGTTTTCACTCTTTGGATAGTCTTTTGATGAACAGATGGTCTAAGTTGTGACAGAGTATTTTATGGCTGCTGTTTTTTGCATCCTTTAAGAAATACTTGCGTGTCTGTAGGCCATGAAGATAGTTTTCTGTATTTTCCTCTGGAAATGTTACAGTTTTAGCTTTCACATTTAGGTGTATGGTCCACACTGAATTGAGCATTGTGTGTAGTGTGAGATACTGGGCAGTTTCCTTTTCCCAAATGGATGATTACTTGCTCCAGCATCATTTATTTAAGTCACCATTGTGCTCTCACTGAGTCGGTGCCTTTCATTTAAACCAGATGATGGTGTATGTGGCCCATTAGTGTGGACTCTTTCTGTTACATTGGTCTTTTTGTCCTCACACCAGTTTACTTTTTTCTCAAGTACTGTAGCATATATTCTAATGAATATATGAATATATATTTGGTATATGAGTCCTCCAACTTTGTTCTTCCAGGTTGTTTTGACTGTTGTAAGTCTGTTGCATCTCCATATGCATTTTAGAACAGTTTTGTCAAGTCATTGGAAAACTCTGATGGAATTTTGGTAGCAGCTGCACTGATGCTGTGAGTAAGTTTGGAGAGCTTGGGTGTCCTGACAGCCACAGGGCCTCTCTCTGGTCCAGATGCAGTGCCATTGATTGATAGATGGAGGGCTGGGACTAGGTAGCAGGTGTCTGCTATGCATCTGTTAAGCTGAATTTAATGTTAAGATAACTGTTACCATTTACTTTTTAAAATATATATTTATTGATTATGCTTTTACAGTTGTCTTATTTACCCCTTCATTCCCCTCCACCCGCATACCCTCTCCCACCCACATTTCCCCCCTTTAGTTCATGTCCGTGTGTCGTAAGTTCTTCAGCTTCTACATTTCCCACACTGTTCTTACCCTCCCCCTTTCTATTTTCTACCTACCATCTATGCTACTTATTCTCTGTACCTTTTTCCCTTCTCTCCTCCTCCCACTCCCCTGTTGCTAACCCTCCATGTGATCTTCATTTCTGTGGTTCTCTTCGTATTATAGATGTTGGCTTAGTTTGTTTCTTTTTTTGTTTTAGGTGTGGTGGTTAATAACTGTGAGTTTGCTGTCATTTTACTATACACGTTTTTTATCTTCTTTTTCTTAAATAAGTCCCTTTAACATTTCATATGATAAGGGCTTGGTGATGATGAACTCCTTTAACTTGACCTTTTCTGAGAAGCACTTTATCTGCCCTTCCATTCTAAATGAAAGCTTTGCTGGATAGAACAATCTGGATGTAGGTCCTTGCCTTTTATGACTTGGAATAGTTCTTTGCAGCCCCTTTTTGCCTGTAAGGTCTCTTTTGAGAAATCAGCTGACAGTCTGATGGGATCTCCTTTGTTGGTGACTGTCTCTTTATCTCTTGCTGCTTCTAAAGTTCTCTCCTTCATTTTAATCTTGGCTAATGTAATTATGGTGTGCATTGGTGTGTTCCTTCTTGGGTCCAACTTGTTTGGGACTCTCTGAGCTTCCTGGACTTCCCTGGAAGTAAGTCTATTTCCTTTGCCAGATTGGGGAAGTTCTCCTTTGTTATTTATTCAAATAACTTTTCCACTTGTTGCTCTTCTTCTCCCCCTTCTGATACACCTATGATTCAGATCTTTAAACGTTGGAACGTTTAAAGATGTCCTGGAGGTTCCTAAGCCTCTCCTCATTTTTTTGAATTCTTGTTTCTTCATTCTTTTGTTTGGTTGTTTCTTTTTTCCTTCCGGTCCACTCCATTGATCTGAGTCCCAGTTTTCTTTCCATCACTATTGGTTCCCTGTGCATTTTCCTTCATTTCACTTAGTTTAGCCTTCATTTTTTCATGTAATTTGCAACCAAAATCAACCAGTTCTGTGAGCATCCTGATCACCAGTGTTTTGAACTGTGCATCTGATAGGTTGGCTGTCTCTTGGTCACTTAAAACCATTGGCTCTGGGGCTTTAATCTGTTCTTCTGATTGAGCCATTTTTGGTCAGGTCGCACCTGTTATGTATGAGCGGTAGAGCCTTAGGTGTTCAACAGGGCAGGGCAACCCAGTGCCTGGGTTGTGATGCTGTATGTGGGGGCGGGGTCTAAGAGGGAACACTGGTGCTTGCTCCACTGTCATATTTCTGTCCCTTCCAACACTTCCTCAAAGCAAGCTGGGCCCTTCTGGTGCTAATTTTCATGTGGGTGGGCTTGTATACATTCTAGGACCCTGTGGGTCTCTCCAACAAACTCTCCTGTGAGGCTGGGAGTTTCTTCCTGAGCGGCAGCCCCCACAGATGTTTTCAGTCAGTGTTTTGAGGCTTTATTTCCATGTGCTTGGACCCTGGGTTGCGCAGTCTGTCTTGCTCCCCAACCTGGCTTGGTTTTTCTGTGCGCAGATGTGGGACCACCTGGTCAGCCAGCAACCTTGCGCCCAGTGCCTGGCTTCACAATCACTGCCTCTCTGGGTCTGCCCATTGCCACCTGTGCCTGGGGTCTGCCAGCTGCCGTCTTGTGTGCCTGAGATATCTTTCGTGACTGGTGCCACCACTTTTTGAGCTGCCACTCCTCTCTGTCCGGCTGCCCAACTCGGCCCCTCTTACTGGTCTGAATGAATGGTTCGTTGTCAGACTTCCATACAGTTCAATTTTCTGTCAGTTCTGGTTGTTTCTTTGTTTCTAAATCATTATCCTTATTTTGGTTGTGTGAGAAGGAACAGCGTGTCTACCTATGCCTCCATCTTGGCCGGAAGTCCGACATTTACTTTTTAAGTTTGTTACATTAAACAGCTTATTGTCAGCAGTTCCCATTGTGCCTCTAAATAGAATGTTGACTTTTGAAACTGAAACTTCAACTATTTCTAAGTTTCGGTGAAGGAATGGCTTCTGGTTTGTTGTGGATTATGGTGATATGTTTCTGATTCAGAGTCTTTATTTTGGAAGTCCATTTTCACTTATGTGTTGCATTTAAGAATTTCTAAAGAAATAATAAAGTAACTCTGTCCTTAATTCAGCATTAATTAAATTTTAAGATCCTTTTCTGTTTCTGTTAGTGTCATCTGAAGTATTTAATATGCTTACTTAACTTTTAAAGTGTCAAGTAAAAGTTCTCTTATTTCAAGTATAGATTTTTTTTCAGCTTTTAAAATCCAGTTACTTTTTTTCAGAGACAAAAGGATTTGTCCTGATCGACACCATGTTAATCCAGAAATAGACATGCCAAGGAAATTATCTGATCAGGCTATACCAACATTTGGATACATTAAAGTAAGTTCTCTTAAAGATCCTTTTGCTGAATGAGGAATGGTCATTTTAATGAACAGATTTTTTAAGCAGTAGAATCTTAGTAGACTATGATTGCAACTCCCAGGGGTCAGCATTAATATGCCACCATTAATCTGGTATTAGACATGGTCCTTAGAAGGCCCCCAGTTTATTTGGAAAACCAAGATCAAATTGGGAAAGTGGATGAACCCCTTTCAACAATTTAGGGATTTTTTGTTGTATTTTCAGAAAGAATGTTGGTTTTGGGGGGAGGAATTTTAAAAATAATGCAGTAACTATGTGAATCTTTTTAGAAAATCAGTGATTATTCCATTGAGGAAAACTCTGAGACACAGATGGAATTGCTGTATTAAGAGCTTGTCACTTTATTTTGAATCCTTTTTATTACTTTCTTCCTTTTTGAGTTTGTTTTCCTTTTCACCTTCCTTTCCCTGTGGCATGTTGTTGTGCTGTGCTCACTGTCTGGGGCACTGTGACAAGTACTGCAAATCTCAGAACAATGAGTCGATCCTCTCACCCCTCCGGAAGCCGGAAGTCTGAAATGCAGGTGCCTGTGGGCGGCGCTGCTTCCAGGGACTGGGGAGGGCAGTTCCTCCCCCCCCCGCCCCCCCCCCCCCCCCCCGTCTCTCGGCTCCACGTATTAGCTTGTAGACCCCAGTGTCTGTCTCCATCTTTGCATCATTCTCTTCTTCTCTCTGTCTCTTAAAAGGGACCCTTTTTTATCTGGGTGGGTATAGGGCCCATCCAGGTAAGTCAGAATCATCTCCTCATCTGGAGATCCTGAATTCCATCTGCAAAGACCTTTTTCCAAATAAGGTCGTAGTCACAGGTTCTCTGGGAGTTTGCACAAGGACATAACTTTTTGAAGGGCTGCTACTCAACCCACTACAGTTTTCATTATAGAAATTATTGTTTTCTTTAATTTATCTAATCCTTTCCCGAGTTGTGCCACCTCATTTTTAATTAGTTCTCTAATTCTGACTAGTGTTGTTCTTTTATATCATATCATTGTCTTGACTAGCTAAAAGCTCATTTTGAAATTAAAGGTTCGGTTTGATCTGTTTTGTGGATGCATCTTTCTAATGGCTTCCATTGCCTGTGGAGACAAGTTATTCTGTTCCTGATTCCCTTTTTTATTATTATAACTTAATATGGGATTTGACCCTGATAGTTTGCTATTGATCATTTTTTTTAAGATTTTATTTCTTTATTTTTAGACACTGGGAAAGAATGGGAGAAAGACAGGGAGAGAAACATCAATGTGTGGTTGCCTCTCAAGAGTCCCCTACTGGGGACCTGGCCCACAACTCAGGCATGTGACCTGACTGGGAATTGAACCAGAGACCCTTTGGTTCACAGGCTGGCGCTCAATCTACTGAGCCATACCAGCCAGGGCTTGCTTTTGATCATTTTTAGATAAAGTTTATTTTCCTTAAATTTTAGAAGGAAGTGTGCGGATTAGGGTAACTTCTCTAATTTCACAGAGTTCCAGTTTTGGTTGTTTCCATGTCTTGTTAAAAAAAAAAGATGAAGACTTAGTCTCTGAAATTTGTGAGTTTTCACAGCTCTGTTCCCCTCTTCCACGTTTCTCTTTGTTCATCTCTTTTGTCCCTGGATGAACAGTTTCGAGATTTCACAGGGACATCAGCCTTCAGCCAGCAGCAGAGTGGATTAAACTTTTCCACTGTCGGGGCTCCTGCCTCTCTGGCCCATGAATCTTCAGTGAAAGACCTGTTGCGTCCTGGGGACTTCGGTCCTTGGGTCCACAGGACTCACTGGTTTCCTTCCTCTGCTTCTTCCTGCGCAGACAGCGACACCAACAGGTCTTGTGAATGGTCTTTCCTCATCTGCTCTTCTGTTCTTGTTCAAATTAATAGAGTGTATGTTTCAGAACAGTTTTAAGCTTCTAGAAAAATTGAGCAGAAAATACAAAGTTCCTCTGTATTCCTCCCCACTTCCCAGTTCCCCCTGTTCATCTCGCCAATTTCTACTTAAACGCCTGCTGCGGTTTTGACTGGCATCGCATTGAGTCTGTGGATTAATGTGGGAAGTGTGGACATCTAAACAACACTGAGTCTTCCAGTCTGTTGACATGGAATATTATTCCAGTTGCCCAGGTTGTTTTTAATTTCTCTCAGCAATATGGTCTAGTTTTCGGTAGACAGATCTTGTGCTTACTGTGTTAAGTTTATCCTTAATATTTCATGTTCTTGGATGCTATTGTCAGTGATTTTTCTTAAACTTCATTTCCCAGTTGTTTTAGAAATGCAGTTAACTTTTGTATCCTTGCCTTGTGTCCAGCGGCCACAACAGAGTGAATCAGTTGTGTGCGTGTGTCCTGAGGAGAGTGGACTCAAAACAGGCAGGCGGTCAGGTGGTGAGAAGGGACCCGCCCAGGATGCCCAGGCCTGCAGGCTTTTCTGGCATGTGGGACTTTCAGTGCCGAAACCAGGACAGAATGAGATAAACCAGGACAAGCTGATCGCCCTCCCCCATCTGGGGGCCTCAGGCCTTCCTGTCGTGAGGCACAGTCCAGAAGCTGGTTTTTGCTACCTCCGCTCTACCAACTGAACGTGTCTTATATGTGCCGGTGACGTGCAGGGGGGCGGCCTCGACTGACGCCAGCTCAGGCCAGGGCCCCGTTTCCCTGTGTGTGTCTCTGTGTTAAGCTCTTTCCTTAACATAGAGCTTTCATATCTGGGAACTGCAGGGCAGAAGAAACTTTCCCTTTTATTTTCATCATCCTAAAACAATCACCAGTAACATTTTAGTATATTTATTCTGTCATTTTTCTTTGTGCATCTTTAAAAAAATGTATTGGTGTATATTGTCGTTCCCCGCTCTTTCTCATAACATTGTCGCGAGAGTCTTTCTCATCCCCCGAACTACTGCACGATCACTGGCCACCGTCAGCAAGTGGCCAGGGAATGGAATGCCAGGCCGTCGGGGCCTGCGCACCACAGGGCAGAGGACTCCGGGGGCGGGGCCAGCCGCCAGGCAGGCAGGAGTGCTGAGCCCCCACCAGAGGTGGAGGTGGGCTGGAATAAGCACTGAACTGAGGGTTTGTGACTTAATTTATGTTTTTAAATTGAAAATTATTTTATTTTTTTAATCATCACCTGAAGATATGTTTACTGATTTATGGAGACAGGAATGGGGGGATTAGTGAGGGTGGGTAGAGAAAAAGAGAGAGAGAAACATCGACCGGTTGTCTCCTCTACACACTCCGCCTGGGGATTCAACCCACAGCCTGTCTCTGTGCCCTGACCAGGAATTGAACCTACAACTGTTTGGTCTCTGGGCTGATACTCCAACCACCTGACCACCCAGTCAGGGAGCACTGAGGGTTTGTTTAGGCCGCTTTCTCCGTGGTGCTGGAGAGTGCCCGGCTCAGGAACCGTCCCTGATGTGTTACCTGCCCTCTTTCTGCTGACTTTCCAGCGGGGGTGGTCAGCAGCGGGCAGGGGAGCAAGGAGACGTGCTAGGAAGAGGATGAAAGGCAGTGAAATACTGGGGGGAGGCCAAGGGGACCAGGCTCCTTTGGAAATTTTAGGCAGGGGGGCACTCTCTGAGGAGGGGTCATCTGCACTGAGGGCCAGATAAGAAGGATCCAGCCATGGGAAGATTTGGGGAAGAATATTCCAGGAGCAGAAACCAGCAAGAACAAAGGCCCTGAGGTAGGAGTTAACGTGGAGTGTTTGTGGAACAGCGCAAGGCTCCCTGGCCGTGCAAGTGGGAGAGGGACAGGCAGAGGAGGGCCACCAGCTCTCCGCTTGGTGGGATCTGACACTGTCTTTGCTCACACGGGTTGACCTTGCTCCTGCCTCGCCCGCCTTCCTCCCAGTCAGCACCACCCTCTCACCATCCCACCGAGTAACCCGTTCTCACTCCTGCCTTCTGCTCCGGGCAGCCAGGGCTCCTGCCTTAATACCCACCACGTGCTCCCTCCACCTGCAGTGCCTGCCCCACGCGCTTGCTAACGCGCTGCTAACGCGCTCTGGCTGCACTGGCTCTGTCCGTCCGCGGGCTGCTGGAGTTCCTGTGGTGCCTCGGCACAGCAGCTCCGACCGAACACCTGTTGTGGCACCAGCGGAAATGAGAAGGGTGAGACTCGGAGAAGATTTTTATGAAGCGCAGTTTTAAAAGGCAAACAAAGGAACACTCCCACCAAATAACTGCAGTTTTAAAATAATAAGATTTGTCCAGAAAAACTTCTGTTAAAGCTCTCATTATTTGTGGGTATGGTAACATTTTTATTTTATTTCATTTGTTTTTTGGCCGGTTTCTTACTTTATTTTTAAACCCCTATTCATGTGCTTTGGGCTCTTCGGTCAGGCACTGATTTTCTCAGACAGGTCCTGGGTCTAGTGTGATGTTACTTTCTGGATGTGTTTTTATGTTTCAGATAATACCCTTTTATATTGTGAATGCGACAAATTACTTTGGTCGTATACTTGATAAACATGTGGATCTTTATGCAACTCTTAATGCTGAAATGAAGGAGTATTTTGAGGATGCCAGTAATAAAACACCTGTTGAACAGGTGGAGAAATTTGGACTATATGGATTAGCAGAAAAAACACTTTTTTACAGGTAGAATGTCTGTTATTTCATCTTGAAAAGTTGGGAAGCAGGAGGTAACTTTAACTGCTATTGAAACCCCAAGTCCACCTCTGTCCGTTGGGCCCACTGTTCCCGGGTGAGGCCTGCTGCCTCCCAGGTGGGCGGTGGCAGGTGGCAGGGTCATGGCCCCAGACCCTGCACACAGGCCCACACCTGGGATGCGTCTGACCCCAGGCCCCCAAGCACAGAGCATGGGTCACGTGTAGGGTTTACACGCCAGCGGTTACAGAACCGTCTCTGTGTGCTGCACACACACGCGTTTTTAACTCAGTTCTCACAATGTCCCTTTACTCCCATTTTACAGATAAGCAAACTGAGCCTTGTGCGATGTGTCTGAGGTCAGCTCAGTACATGGCCCAGTGTTCCCACCCAGGCGGTCTGACTCACACGCCTGCTGGCACGGCACCTCGGCAGTTTTATTTCTTGCATGGAGTACAGCTGTGAAGTCAGGACTCTTATTATGTATTTAGCATTTAATGGATAAGTTTAGGCAAAGGTCATTTCCATTTTAGAATCTCTGTGTTAAACTGATTCCCCTGTTGTTCTCCAGAGTTCAAGTGCTGGAAGTGGGCCAGGGAGAAGACCACTGGGCCCTGGATAAAATCCTGGTGAAGTTTATAGACGAAGGCAGGACTGGACTCGTCACCAGAGATCAGCTGCTGCGTCTCCCAGACAGTTTCCGCCCCCTGCCCCCCCAGGCAGTGGAGTTCATTGTCTGTAGAGTGAAACCTGCTGATGGTGAAATTGAATGGAATCCAAAGGTGAGTTATTTTGGCTTTTTTTAGTTTGCTGACTTTTAGAATGCGTTTACCCCAGAATGTACACATAACTGTGATTTATTTGAATTTGGAGTACTGAGTTTGGGTAAAATGCTTCAAGTTCCTGCGCAGTGGGAGTGCCGTGCACAGGGGTCCCTGCAGGGGTAGGCACACAGTGACCTGACTGAGGACCGGGCACCCCTGTCTGCCAGTGCCAGGTGCCATCTTAGCAGCAGCGCTCACAGACTTAGCGCTGGTGTAAAATATGTGTCGTGATAAAGTGAACTGGCTGTCAGCTTCAGGAGAAGAAACGGTGTAAGCACCTACAAAACGGGTGCCCTGCAAAGGGGGGCGTGGGTGACGGCCACTCTCTGGAGAGGCCAGGTAAGTCCACTGGGATTGGGAGGGTGGGTAAGGACAGAGTCCAAAAAGCTCCCAAAGGAAGGGACGTTTCCTCGGGGCCCTTTGGGATGGGTAACTAGGATGTCACCAAGTAGACCGGCTGAGGCACTTAGAGCAAAGAAACCAACATGGGCCGTGGCAGGGAGCGCAGAAGAGTGGCTGGCGTGGGCTCACGTGGCTGTCCAGGGTGGGCTAACAGGCCCCTGCCACCCGGGTGGAAGCCCGACAGGCAGCCTCAGTGCCAGGGCGGTGAGTCCTGATTCCCAGGGGAAGATTACACTTTGTATAATCTGATGAGTAGAATATGAAATAAGTTATTGTGGTTGGCGAGGTAAAACCAGTTCAGGTTGTACACGAGGTTGCCCGTTATGCGGGACACATAGGTGACTGTTCCCACAGTAAAGGGTGGACGTGCAGCCTTCTTGCAGTGAGTTTAGTAAAAAGAGCCTTTATTAAATAGCAGTCTTGTTTCTTCGTGGGGAGTACTTCCTGAGGGTCCTGTGTGCTGGTGTCACGTGTTCTGGGGATGCGGCCAGTAGCAAGAGCGTCGTGGTCCTCACCTTTAGGAGATATTCGGCCTGTCAGGATGATCAGCCCACAAGTCTTTGCGGAAGAGGAGCCCTCCATAGGAAAATAGAAATGGGGGAGGTTCTCCTGCACGTGTTCTTTTAGATTAACTCATAAAGCTGGAGGGAGATGGAAATAATCCCATCACGATGAGCCAGCTCCCTTCCGTCCGGTTTGACTGGAGTTGAGATGAGCCCGAGAGAGCGCTCAGGCAGGACTCCCCTGTGGTGGCCCTGCTGTGGGGACAGCCCCGCGCTTGGGAAGGGCACAGGAAACGGTCCCGGGGCCCCTCTGTTCCCGGGGCCCCTCTGTTCCCGGGGCCCTGGTGCAGAGCAGCTCCGTTGCCGTGCCTTCTTCCCCTGGTGCAGCACTTGGACTTCACGCCCATTGAGCTTCCAAGGAAATGAACATCCACACCTTAGAGGCAGGTGGACAGTTAACAGAAGAGGTCCACAGTGGGAAGCGTGCAGAACTAGGAGTCCAGAGGTGTGGGCCTGTTCTGGGAACTCAGCTTTTGCATCTGCCCTTGTCAGACTCCACTGTTGGTTACCCTTGTCAGCAAAAGGGACCATGGCCTGCATGACCTGCCTCCTGGGAGGGGAGAGGTTCTACTGAAATACATGGAAGAGTTTTTTGCAAAACTGTGTAGCGTTCACAAAATAAGGAGTCATGCTAAAGCTTCACATCAGTTACTTCAGTGTGTTTTTCAGGTTACTAGGTACATTCATCACAAAATTATTGGAAAGTTGCACGATGCAAAAGTGATACTGGTTTTAGGAAATACAGTTTGGATTGATCCAATGGTAAGTATATAGTTTTTTGTGCTCGCTTTGGCAGCACATATACAATGGTAAGTATATAGTTTTCTTAAAAAGGAATTTGTGTTTGGGCCTCTGGGGTAATCCAAACTATTTTAACCTGTTGTTTGAATAACTTCTACCTCACAAGAGGCTTATTTGGGGGGAACCTTTTACACTGTAACCCAGCGTAACAGGTGTGTGTGTGTGTGTGCACTTGCACACTCACACACGCGGCCAAGACAGGAGCTCCATGGCACTGTCCTCGCTGTGTGCGGCAGTCTCTGATGGTTACAACTCTGTTCTCTCCCACTTTCCGAATGTCGGCTGTGCCTTGTTCGGCGGGTTTGCAGCTCTCTGTGCACATGGTTGGGGAAGCCTGGGCTTGGGCGCGGTCCTGCAGCAGTACAGCCGTCCGTCTGTCTGCTGTTGTAAATGGGCTTCACCTCCCAGCACACAGTTGGTGATGCTTGGGAGTTCCAGTCCCTGGCCTTTCAAAAGTAGGTTTTATCAGCCCTGACCAGTGTGGCTCAGTTGGGGTGCCGTCCCATAACCAAAAGGTTGTGGGTTCGATTCCCCTTCAGGGCATGTACCTCGGTTACAGGTTCGATCCTCGGTCTGGGTGCCTACGGGAGGCAGTCAGTCCCTGCTTCTTTCTCCCTTCCTTTCTAATGCAATGAAAAAAAAATGTCCTCAAGTGAGGATTTAAAAAAGAGGTTTTATTACGTTCACAGTTTCTGTTTCGTTCAATCACCAAAAATTGAGTGCCTACCATGTGCTAGGTAGGACCCTTATGGGCACTTGGGTTCCACTTGTGAACACAGACTCCCGTCCTGTGGAGCCGACACAGGGCGGGGGGCAGGTGGGGGGCTGTGAGACCAGGACATGGAAATAAGGGGTCTCCATGCACCCCTCTGTGCCAGCACCATCTCCCCTCTTCCTGGGCCACAGGAACTCTGCTTTGCAATTACAATTATTGGCAAGACTGAGAGGACTTTAGTTCATAAAAATTTCTGCAGGAGATTATTTTTGTAAGATGGAAAGTGTCTTAAAACTTTAAAAGGAGTTTGGGATGGATGTGAGATTTAAGAGTAAGAGGAAAAATGATTTTCAGAAGAGAAGGTAGAGATTACTAGTTGGTACTGTAATAGTAAATATTATGGTTCTACTTTCTTGGAGAAAATGGAAACTTACTAAAAGAATGAAGCAAAAAGAAAAGAAAAGAACCCCCTCCCCGCCCCCTGCAAATACGCTTCCGCACCTGCAGAGCGGCATTGTTCTCCACCCAGACCAGCCGGGTCCCCATGTGAGTGGGGCAAGGCCCTTCCCGGGGGTAGCACCTTCCCAGGGTTCTCCTCGGGCAGAGCCCAGCCCGCCCTCCCCATGCCACAGAAGGGGGTGCCCAGTCTGGGCACGCATCTCCCATCAGCAGGAATTAGACTGTTACCAATTTCGTGTTTTACTTAATTTTATATAAATAGAAGTGGTAAGAATATTTCGGTTGCAGGAAAGACAAGCAGAGGAAACTGTCCAGAACACTTAGGGCTTTAGCAGAGAGCCTTTCTGGGCACCCAGAGGCTCCGGGCGCTGGGGTCTGCCTTGTTGAGAGCTGTGCAGGTACTGGAGCAAAGACCAGGAAAACCTCAGACTCATGTGTGTGGTTCCAGAATCACAGACTGGTCTTGTCTAGGGACTCTGTTCCGGGATTTGCCCTTGGCCCCAACCCCGACCTCACCATATGGCTGCAGGTGGGCCTGGGCTCTGGAAGATTCTAGCAGAACCTTGGTCACCAAGTGGACCAGATGTGAGTGGGAGGCCTGGGCGCGCTGCAGCTCATGCCCACCGGCATCAAGCACGACAGAACTGGGCCAAGGGGCCGTGTGGGTGTCCTTGGGACTCATCTGAAGTTCGAAGTTTGAGTCCTGCAAATGTATTTTTTTTCTTTGATTCAAGGTGCACGTCACAAAACTTTTAAATTTGAAAACTTCTGTCATTGATTACAATGTTCGAGGTGAAATTTTGTCAATGGGAATGGGCGTTGATAATCCAGAACATGTAGAACAACTGAAGAAATTATACAAAGGAGCTAAAATGCCAACTGTCGAAGAAAGCCTAAGCCAGACCCTGTAAGTAGATTTCTGTCTCCCTTTTGGAAGAGCTGTTCTGTGGAAGTACATCTCAAAGTGTTAAAGAAATTTCTTTAAAGTAAATTGTTTAAGGAGTGTCCACATTCCCATCACCCAGCTCCAGTCATTACCGAGATTTTGGGAATCTTGTTTTATCCAGACTTCAGCCGCCACCTGTGTCTGTCCTACAGAATGGATTTGTTAGCGTTCTGTTGGCAGCTAGCACGTACACAGAAAAGCGCACACATCATGAGTGCAGTTGGGTGGGTTTTCTGAGCCCACAAACCAGCGCCCGATCAGAAACAGGACTCGACGCAGGGCCGGCTTGTCCCTTCCAGTGGCGGTGCTCTCCCAGCATGATGGCTCTTCCCCGACTTGTCCTCTGAATGGAATCATGCAGCGTGTCTCGTCTGTATCTGGCTTATGTAGCTCAGCATCATTTGTGAAACTCATCTGTATTGTGCATGTAGTGTAGATCATAAATTCTCATGACTGCACCGTGTTCCATTGTATGAGCACGTTCTAATTTATCCACCCGTTCTGCTGCTGATGGGAGGAGTTCCCAGTTTGGGACTGTACCTGGTAGTCCTTTAACCAGCCCCCTGCATGTGTTTTCGCGCATGTACGAACGAATTTCTGATGGAATAGAACTGCTGAGTCATTACAGCCACTGCCCACCAGTTTTGCAGATTGGTTGTACCCATTTCCTCTTCCACCAGCAGTATAAAGACTCTGAAGGTCACTCTGAGGAAGGTCCTGTCGGGTGCAGAGCAGGGCGTGGAGCAGTCCTGGTGTCAGGTGCAGCGGGGGGAGCAGTTTTGGGGTTGGATCTTGTTGGTCCCTGTGATCTTGCAGGGATTGGGCTCCCACTCTGAGGAAGCGGAACAGTGAGAGGGTTTTGAGCAGAGAAATAATCAAAAGATTCTTGGCTTCTGTGTTGAGTATAGACTGGAGTCAGGGACAAAGGCTGTGCCGAGTAGCAGGCAGGATGACAGTGGCCCAGACTTGGGTGGTTTTGTGGAGGTGGTGAGAAGTAGCTGGTGGTGAGTAGTGAGCACGTGCCCCCAGGGAGTCTTGTTAGCGGTTCCTAGGTGTGGAGAGCTGGGATGCTGGACGAGGGCCTTGAAGGAGTGAGGATGAAGGTCCCAGGACTAAGCCTTAGGCCTCTGGTGTTGGGAAGCGAGGCAGCTGTCGGGACACAGACAGGAGCCTAGGAAGAGAGCAGCCCCTGGCAGAGAAGGAAGCCTGGGAGAGGGGTGTCCAGGGTGGCCAGAGGGTGTGCCAGAGGGCAAGCCACGGGCTGTACAGAGCTGCCAAGAGGCCAAGTGAGGCACAGACTGGGAGCTGCCGGGTGGATTCAGTGATGTGACCATTGGTGACCTGGAAAGAGTAGGGAGATTCCAAAAACACACCACAAATATGAAAATACTTCACAGTCTAAAGATTTCAGGGTTTCCTACCTTAATAAAACCAGGTCCCTAAGAGATTTGGATACATGTTGGTTTCTACACACATTCAGGAGACAAATTGCTTCATACTTATAAGAGAGTCTTTTAGAAATGAAGATGTCAAATGAAAAAGTGTTCAGGCCAAGATGGAGGTGTAGGTAGATACTCTTCTCCTCCTCGCACAACCAAAAGAAGGAAACAACTAATTTAAAAACAAAAAACAACCAGAACTGCCAGAAAATTGAACTGTATGGAAGTCTGACAACCAGGGAGTTAAAGAGGAAACATTCATCCAGACTGGTAGGAGGGGTAGAGACAGGCAGCCAGGTGAACAGAACATGAGGGCAAGATGGCATCTGATGGACTGGCTGGTCCCACATTTGTGTACAGATAAACTGAGAGGAACAACTGGGGAGTGAGACAGACCATGTAACCCAGGGCTCCAGAGCAGGCTAAATAAAGCCTCAGAACCTCTGGCTGTAAAAACCTGTGGGGGTTGTGGCAGCAAGAGAAACTGCTAGTCACTTGAAAGCAGGGCAAGAGCCAAGTCAACAGCCTTGTTCCCTCTCCGACCCCTCCCCCACACATAGCACCATAAAGTGGGTTGCCCTGTCTTGAAAATACTTAAGGCTCTGTCCCTTACAATGTAACAGGAAGGCTGAGACAAAGAAATATGGCCCAAATGAAAGAACAGATCAAAGCTCCAGAAAAAGTGATGAAGAGATAACCAACCTATCAGATGCAGAGTTTAAAACACTGGTAATCAGGATGCTCACAGAAATGGTTGAGTATGGTTGCAAAATGAAGAAAGAAATGAAGGCTTTGCAAAGTGAAATAAAGGGAAATGTACAGGGAACCAACAGTGAAGGGAAGGAAAACAGGACTCAAATCAACGATTTGGAACAAAAGGAAGACATAAACATTTCATCCAGAACAGAATGAAGAAACAATAATTCAAAAAAATGAGAGGCTTAGGAACTAAGGAACTTCTGGGACAACTTTAAATGTTCCAAAATCTGAGTCATAGGGGTGCCAGAAGGAGAAAAGGAAGAGCAAGAAACTAAATGCAATTAACAAATTGCATTTTTTAAGTTTCAATTTTCAATTGGAAAAAATAATGAAGGAGATCTTCCCCAATCTGGCAAAGGAAATAGACATACAGGTCCAGGAAGTTCATGGGGTCCCAAACAATTTAGGCCCAAAGAGGAACACACCAAGACACATCAGAATTAAATTACCCAAGATTAAAGATAAGAGAGAATCTCAAAAGCAGCAAGAGGAAAGGACAGAGTTACCTACAAAGGAGTTCACAGAAGACTATCAGCTGATTTCTCAAAAGAAACCTTGTAGGCAAGAAGGGGCTGGAAAGAAGTATTCCAAGTCATGAAAGGCAAGGACCTACATCCAAGATTACTCTATCCAGCAAAGCTGTCATTTAGAATGGAAGGCAGATCAAGTGCTTCCCAGATAAGGTCAAGTTAAAGGAGTTCATCATCACCAAGCCCTTATTATATGAAATGTTAAAGGGACTTATCTAAGAAATAGAAGAAGATAAAAAAATAACATTAAAATGCCAGTAAAGTCACAACCATCAACAACTGAATCTTCACAATAACAAACTAAGCAACTAGAACAGGAATCTCAGAAATGGAGATCATATGAAGGGTTATCAGCGGGGAAGCAGAGGGGGAAGAATGGGGGGAAAGTTACAGGAAATGAGAAACATAATTGGTAAGTACAAAATAGACAGGGGGAGGTAAAGAATAGTATAGGAAGTGTAGAAGACAAAGAACTTACATGCATGACCCATGGATATGAACTAAGATGGGGAATGCTGGAGGGAATGGGAGTACCAGGGGGAGGGGAATAAAGGGGAGAAAAAAATTGGACAACTGTAATAGCATAATCAGTAAAATATACTTTTAAAATGAAAGCAATTTTAAAATAATAAAAACAAACACGTTGTTACAGTTTAGTAGATTTAATCATAACTGGGATTCATCAGTTATCTGAAACACAGCTACTGAGCCCCAGCTCTGTGCAAAGCACTCTGCTGGGTGGCTGTGCACACTTCACTTTGTGGTTGCGCAGCAGTATCACACACCTGTGGTCATAAATACAGGTGGAGAGAGGTGCAAAGTACCACAGGAGTCTGCAGAGGCAGTGCTCCTGGAAGAGAGACTTCATTTCAGGAGCTGGATTGGGGCACTGTGGCAGTAATCTGGATCAGAAGCAAGGGGAGGGACACCATTTTTATAGCAGGTTGGGAGAGAGGATGGATCCTGCGGACCTGGAAGATCTGGAAGCCATGGGGCTTGGTGACTGACAGACATGGGGGAGTGTTATTCCATAACCCTGCGCCCTGATGACTGACAGGATTCTGGCATGGTTGGCAGTTAGAAGGTGTTGTCTGGAAGCAGCTAACACCTTGGAGAGGTGGAAACAAGGAGCTGGTTTTGGACCTCTTAACACCTTAGGTTGTTCAAACTGTGAGCCCGGCACTCAGGACAGCACTGGGGGAAGGCTCTGGTTTCCAGGTGTTGGAAGCCTTAACTTGGTTAAGTGCATGAGAGGGAAGGACAGAACCCGGTGGATGAGGGTCCAGTGAGGAGAAGAGAGTGAGTGATGGGGGGCCAGTGCTGCACCCCTGGGGGGGAAAGAGGTGCATGGACATGAGGCCCCGCCCCCCGCATTTGGGCAGTGCCGTGCCACAGGCATCATGTACATTGGTCAGGCCCCCCAGAGCCTCACACAGACCCTGCCCCGTGGCAGGGGTGCACGCATGTGTACCGTGTCTGCATAGGTTTGCCCCTTTAGGCTGGACCTCTCCGAGGGTGCACGGAAGATGAACTACATCGTCACCCGTGAGGACAGAGTTTGAGTGGCTGGCCACCACAGTGAGAGGGAGATTCATCACTGTGTAAACTTTCATATTTATTAGACGCCATGAATGTCATTCATTATCTTCTCAAAAAACCAAGAGAGAAGCACAATTTAAAAATTGTAGAGAAAGGAGGCCGTCCGTCCTCCAGGGAGCAACTCTGTGTATTCAGAACAATACAACAGAGGGTGGGAAAGTGAATTTAGTAGGTTTCCAAGTTTTTAAACCTGCACGCGGGTGTGAGATGGAAAGTTGCAGGGGCAATGTTTGCTTTTTCAGACCAAGGCTTTCTAGAAGCAGGCCCAGACTGGTAACGGGGTCCCTCAGAAGAGGAACTGAGGGACCGGGGCAAGGAGGGAAGGAGGTGGCTTCCACTTTCTGCCCTTTTATCCTCTTTGAAGTGTGTGGCAGTGTATGTTATTCTCAAAGTGAGATGGTTTGAAAGGGAACTTACATTAGTAAATTTGTTAACCCATTTATCTGGTAATATGTATCAACCCTCCACTCTATGCTAGAGGCCAGGGGCGCAGCACGAACAGCCAGCTGCCCTGCCGGGTGTCCGTAACTGCGTCCCCCAGTCTGCGTGGTTCTCACTCCTGGCAGGGAGCATATCAGGACCACTGGTGGCAGGCTTTTCTCTCCTGGCTGGCAAGTCCCTGCAGAGAGCCAGAGTGC